CTTAAACCTTCTTTTTCTCCCCCATCACACAGACTCATTTATTTTGAATTTCTTAATTTCTTGTGCTGTATTATTTTTCTTTCTCATTGGATTGCATCTTTGTTAATTCTCATATTACCTTAACTGACAATGTTTATAACTGCTATGAAAAATAAGATTTTCAAACAAAAAAAATGTCTTTTGTACTATTTGTCTTTCTTTTGTAGATTTCGAGGTTGGCTAGTTAGAAGGTTATGCTGCTTCATCTTCATATTGGAATGTTCAGTAGATGAAGACTTGTCCCCCAATCTGCCTGAGAACATTTTCAAACACCCCAGGTATGCTTCTCATTTCACGTGTTGTTTATCTCTATTTTCTTGCCTTTTTTTCTGTTTTTTTTTTAAAAATAAAATTCTTTGTCTTGAAATAAAACAATATAGACAATGTCATGGGAACTGTGAGCAAATTGATCAAGGCTTTTGTTTCAGATTAGAAAATGTATTTCAGGTGCAGTATAGCAATACTTTCTGTACTGGGTGGCCAAATTAGTTGTGGGACCCACAACGTTTGTGTTATCCTGAAGAATGAAGGATTCTACTTTTGTGAAGTTTGATAAATGGCTCTAAAGAGAAACTGTAGTGCCAGGAAAACAAAGTTGTTTTCCAGGCACTATAGCCCCTCTTGTCAAGCCCCTCTCTTCCCTCTGGTGCAGAAGGAGTTAAAAACCCTTCTGTGACTTACCCCATTCCAACACCGATGTCCATTGGTGCTGACTTGGGCTCCGCAGGTGGGGGAGACCTAATGCGCATGTGTGGCAATGGCCGCACTTGCATTAGGACTTCCCCCATAAGAAAGCATTATATACTGGATGTCCTCGGTAGACAGCCACTAGAGGTGGAGTGAACCCACAAAGGTAATTATTGCAGTTTCTTAAAAACTACAATAATTTACCTTTTGCAAGGTTAAGAGATCCGGGACACTGCACCCAGACCACTTTAATGAGCTGAAGGGGTCTGGATGCCGTTAGTATCCCTTTAATGAAGAAGTGGCATTGTATAGGCAGGACTAGCCGGACTAAAGGACTGTAAACCCAGTATGGATTTTTACCAGGTTGAAACACACACCATCAGGGTTATTCACAAAAGGGAGAATTCAAAGTGAATTTCACATTTAAAGTCAAAATGGCTGAACAAATTATTATTCACTAGCTTTTTTTGCAAGTACTATTTGTCATGAAAGTACTATTTACCCACTGGCAGTGCCAACAGCCAGTGGGCAAATAGTTTGGATTTCGTTTATATCTGTGCCCAGATTTTAAGTATTCAGGCCAGGATTTGAAGCACTTGGGTCCAGATTTCAGTTGTCCAGTGGTGTTAGATCTATCTGAAATCCAGACCACGTTCACGCCGTTTGGGGCTTTAATTGCAAAATCTAGACATTGTTGTATAATGTAAACAAACTCCAGATTTTGCAGTCCATTTGGCCCTCTCAACATTATTTCTATTCCTGGGTATTTGTTTCTCAAGGCAGGTTGGGAGGTTATCCAAACATACAGGGTTATTCACTAAAGTGAGAATTAAAGGTAAATTCAAAGTGAATCTCAAAATTAATGTCACAATAGCCAAACTGGAACAATTCTCTAAGTCCGTTATGCTTTCAGTTCGGCTACTCTGGCCTTAGATGTGAAATTCACTTTGACTTCTCATCTTATCAAACAACTCTGTAAGTGTAACTAAAAGTCTCTCTTACTGCCTATTTCTATTCTTCTAACCATCTTTATTTTATATCTCTGTGGTACTAGTGTGCAGTTGGCAATAAATCAGGATCTCACAATGGAGCAACCTCTGAAACACACACATCCTATAAGCTTGCCATCCACTTGCAGTGGAAAGGTTCACATTGAGGTGCTAAAGATTCTGGGACAGATTCATCGGTCTCTCTCTCCTTGGCTTCTCAGGTATTACTCTTGTCTTCTAGTTAGGAAGGCATTGAACTTTAGAGCAAATTCCTCATTATTTATATTATTATTAGAGGATTGGAAAAAGTCTGCAGTTTATGCTACAGTATTTTTACTGTAGTTATTGGAGTTAATTTTATATGCATTTGAAAAATAGTTCTGTGATGTTTTTGCATGTTGATTTGCTGTCATCATAGCACCTGTCTGGAACTAGAATACACTATTATGTGGTGTGTTCATAACTGTTTCTCTTTCCCCTTAATTGCTTCCATCCTGGAATGATGAGGTATATCTGAGTCCTGGGCATACCTATCTATATGCCAGATTGCTGGTGTCCTGGCCCAAAACTTGGCTGCAATTTCACCCTTATTTGCTGTGGTTGTTGAGGCTAACTGCCTTAAGAACATTGTTTGCCTGTGATGTGTGCTCTTGCCAACATTATTAGTAAAATTCTGGCATTCTGAGGTTGATTGCCAGAAATTCATTGATTAGGATGACTGGTGCACACAGGCAAGAATGCAGCCTCCATTAAAAGCTTGGCCACGCTACAGTTGCAGTTTTATGTGCATGTCTCTTTTATGTGTATGGGACTGTGTGGGTGTATTAAAGTGTATAGTTGCAAATGTGTGTACTGATTTGTATGTTCAAGTGCACATGGTAGTTTGGATCTACTGCACAATTGCACACATGAGAGATGACTACTTAATTATTGTCCCCCAGGTAGATTAACTTTGAGTCCATGTTCGTGAGGTAGGTAAAAAATGTATTTGTTTTTGTATACCCTTTGTGTGATTCACACCAGTATCTTTCAGATAATCTCTTCTCTGTATCTTTTTTTTAATTGCAAGATTCTCCCATTGGGTCGTTGTTAAACTGCTATGCTCCCTCTATCTGCATGTACAGTTTCATTGTGGTCAGATGGCCACAGTCCGAGAAGCATCTAAATCGGTGAGGCTATATGTTAATTATATGAATTCACTTATCATTACACGTGTAATACGTTTGCAATTAATTGTCGATTTAAAATAAACTACCAATTAATTAAAACAGCGAGTTAGCGCACAAAACTTGGAAAAATATTATTTTGTAGGAATAAAAATTGGCAGAACTTATTTGGAATAGAATTTAGCAACATAGAGATATATATATGTATATATGTGTATTATTAGTTCAGAAATTGTATAGTCCACACCAAATATGCAGTCACTCCTTCTAGAATCGTCCAACACTCCCAGGGGTATGATTCCAATGACAAAGCCCTTATTTTAATTTTTTTAAATTTTTAATAAAATAGTACTGCTGTTTTCTCTGCAGGAAGCAGCTATCAGGTGCTACCATCAATTAAAAAGCTTTGCTGTTTAAACTCTGCCCCTTTATAGGAATTAACTGATCAGACTGATGTTGTTGGGCAAAATATTATGTGGATTGAAACCCTCCTCTATGACCAGAACACTGACTGTGACTGGGTTGCTTAACTTGCACTGCAACTGACGGGGTCCTTCTAAAAGAACTGACAATCCAAAATCCTGTTATCAACATAATAAGCCAGCAGTACAGTACAGAAAGTATTCTCTAGTCTAGCCCAGCCTATGTTTTATATATATTTTATTATTTGTATACATTAAAATGAATAGTAAGGGTATACAGACACCATTAGGTAGATTGGGCTCCTTATTTAATGAGACATTTCTTTGTGCAATGCTCTAAACTTTAATGTGAGGTCCAAATCAACAGGTACTAAGCCACTTTGGATTAGTGATATAGCTCCAGTGAAGTATTTTCATTTCATAAAGAACTATCACTTCTCTGGGATTTATACGTTTGAATAAAAGAAATAAAAATCCCTTATAATTTGTGTTAAATCTTTTTTTTTTTTTTTTTTAATTGCTAAGATAGAGATGCGTAGTTGCATGATAAATGTGTATATTTCTAATATTTACTTTTATTTTTCCCACCTCGCAAATACATCTTTTTTTTAAACATAGAGATGAGTAAGCATAACACTACAAATCCAGGGAAGTGACAGTGTTGATTTAACTCAACTTGGTTTCACCCAAGCAGTAGAGTAGAAGCAAGGTCAAGCATTTTTTTTATAGATTAATCAGATAAAAAAATGTAAAATTCCTCCTTTAGTTAAAGTGAATTTATTCTTCTATTGGTATGAAATGACAGATTCATGTCGCTATTTTGAGCTTTACAAATAACAAATCAGCAATAAAATGTAAGCACTTTGCTCCAGAATAATTTTTGTGTAAATTCAGTCTGTTGTAAGCCCCAGTTCTAGACTCGAATGCTAAAAACACTTGTCAGGACAAATTATATAATCACTGTCATCAGGGATCAAACTGAAGATATTGTTCTGTTGTTCATAAATAACAACTGTGACAGTGATGTAATGTGGATACATTTTATTAAAAAGACAAAGAGATTAAAGTCATGTGGCAAACCGGTGAGAAAACAAACAATCAGATAATGTCACGATTCATGTAAACCTCTACAGCTTTCTTATTTTTATTGTTTTTGTTTTTTTTCAGGGTTCTAAAACTGTAACATTGTCCTTTGTGGATATGTTCTGCCTTTTCTATGCAGTAATTTCATTAAAAGTAGTTATTCACCAAATATTGACATTCTGTATGCTATTAATAGTTTGTGATGAAAGCTTGTGAACCACCAGCCTGGTGGTGTTTTAGTCATTTTGGGTTTAATCTGACATAGTGTTAATTTATTTAGGTTGATGTAAAATTAATCAAAAATATATATTTTTGTGCACTGCCATGGGGACCCAGTAATGAGCTGCAAAACAGAAAGCCTCTGGGGCAAACTTGGCAGGTTCACATATAATTCAGTATGTAAGTATCTAATGGATAGAATCTGCCAATTGTTGAAAGGTGTCTGTGTCATTTGGACCAATTCATATTACTTAGGTCATAGTATGGTGGCAGAACGTTCCCAGGGGTAATTGTAGACATTATGGAATTTATTGATAGACCAGGTTCTATACATTTTATATTTATTCATTTTAGTGTCCTGAGTGTCCAATGGTCTTCCTGTGTGCTCACCCCTCATGGCTGGATGGTCTCCTTCTCCCTTACCTTCTCTTTTCACAAAATCTCAAGATGCCCCGTGTAGTGTGGGACAGGGCAAACTGCCCATTATTTCTGAGGTAAGCAGGTTAACACTTGTATCCTTGGGACCATTATATTCAGGCCACACACTGGTTGAAGGGAATTCAGAAGACAATTAATTTGATGTCAGAAAGTGCTGTCAGTAATTTGGTAGTGTTACTGTAGCTATAAGGAAATTGTTTACCAAGTGTTTGTGTTTCAGTGGACAATGCTGATATTTTTTTCCTTCAGTTGTAATACTGTTAGACCCATGCTATTAAGATGAATGTCACCAACTGTACTTGTTATTGTATGCTGATCTTTACAGAAATAAATACTCAAATCTTACAAAATAAACAGTGGATTGTGGAGATTAGACAACAAAAATGCAAAATGTATCAATTTTACCAATTCCACTATTTTCGCTGACATTTTGCAGTTGTGTCATGAGGTCACCACAATCCTTTGCTTATCAACTATACTGGAAAAACTTAAGAAAAAAAAACATTGAAAATTGATGTGAGCAGCACATGCCAAGCTAAGTATGTTGGGCATTGTGGATTACTGACATATACTTATTATATTATTTTTAAAGTCAGGTAGATTGGTTGAGCCATTACTGATTTTTAAGGGATACTCTAAGCATCAAAACAACTTTAGGACAATTAACCTTTTTTTTTTTTTTCTGTAACTCACACTGCCTCCATATAAAACGTTTAATTTAATTGCAACCAGTTTTGCAGCACAGTGTGTTTACTTTAGAAGCTCTTATATTCTGCTATGTTAGAGGGATACTATAGTGTCAGGAATACAAATCTGTTTTTTTGGCACTAAAGCTCCCTCTGCCTCCCCCCTCTCTCGCGGTGGTCAATAAAGGGTTATAACCCTTTATTTACTTATCTGATCCCAGTGCCGGAGACCCATTACAGAGACAACGTTTACGATGAAGTGGCTCTAATGCCCCTGCACGGCAAGTGCCACACGTGCATTAGTGCCTCCCCATAGGAAAGCATTGAGTCAATGCTTTCCTATGGGGAAATAGCTGATGTGGGATGAGGGTGAGGATGTCCAGCGAAAGGACATCCATTCCGGAAGCCCCTCTAGTGGCTGTCTGGTATATAGCCACTGTAGGCAGACTTAGTGCTGCAATGGAAACATTGCAGTTTCTCTGAAACTGCAATGTTTTACATTCCAGCACTAAGTGCCATATGAACACTGTACCCAGACCACTTCAATGAGCTGAAGTGGTCTGGGTGCCAAGAGTGTCGTGTTAATTAACTGTAATCACACATAGGAGGAATCACACATAGGAGGCTGCAGTAGTGGGCAATTAGCAGAGACTAAATTTATGAATTAAATGTGCAATAAGAGATGTTTAAAATGTGAATTATTTTCAGGCAGTATGTAGGGAGGCTATATTCTTTTGATGATTGATTGTCCCTTTAAGGTTGTTGCAGGCTAATTGTGACATCACTGTTGTGTGTTTCTAAGATAATAAAATGTTAGATGTGATATAACTGCCTCTAAGGCTGGTTGATTGTAACATTACTGCTAAGATTGCTGCAGTCACGTTGTGACATTACTGCTTTGGAATTCTAAAATAAAGGCAAATTGTGATGCCACTATGATGTCACTGCTATATGCTTGTAAGGCACTTGGGTAGGGGAGAGATCACAGCTGTGCTTGTGTGTATGTGAGGTTGTTTTAGTTTAATTAGTTGCTATGTATGGTGGATGCTATGGTAGGAAGTCTTTTCTGCTCTCCACTGTCAGTCAATTCTTTGGCATAGAGTCTATGCTGAAGAATTAATTGACAGTGGGAGAAAGACCTATTTTAAAAGTTTCTTTCTTTTAATCTATACATTTGCTAGCACATATGTTAAAACAACACATAGATAGAATTGAATGCTCTTTAAAAAGGTCATAATGTTGTACTCTTTAATTTCTCCACTTCCCTATATGTTTTCTCTATGCTCACGGTCGTGTTAGAATGTTGTGGCCGTGACTTAAATATGAATATTAACCTTGTAATTAATATGTTATAATTAAGCAATAAGTAACAACATTCATTTTTTTATTTTTTTTTATAGTTCGTGGTATTATGGTTAAATATGTGGATAGAAAATACACAAAATGTTGTAATGTTAAATGTATATTTAATATAATTTTAATAACAAGTAAACAATGCTAGCAGAATGTAAATGTAACATATTCCTTACAAAAGGCTATAACAGTTGCTAAATGTTACAATGGATTCATATTACTTACAAGGCCCCACCCCTTTGGCTCGGGTTAAGTCGGAGCTGGTACTACATCTTAGGTTTAGTCAGGTAAGGCAAAGAAACCGAATTCCTCCTACATCTGGTTTTTAATCAGTGTATTCCTAAGTAGGATGGCCTGTCATGTCACTCCCAGAAGCACATGGCTTAAGTATTCCTACACACTGCCCCTAGTAGTGCCTCTAAAGCAGCGGTTCCCAAACTGTGTACCGCACACAGGGGTGCCGTGGAATGTTTCCCTGGTGCTATGATTATAGCACCGGGGAAACATTACTGCTAAACAGGGGCCCAGTCGGGTGCCGCGATCCTTTAAGACCGCAACCAGACCCCTGTAATGTCGGCCAGCTGGGAGGAACTGACAGCCTGTCACTTCCTCCCAGCATCCTGCAGGGAGGCAGCACGGGAGGAGGAGAGGAGCATGAAGAGCTCCAGTCCTCTCACTCCCACAGCAGCAGAACACCAAGCCACTGTCCTGGCCCATAAGGTAAGCTGAAAGGAGGGTGGCTGGAGATATATATCTATATATACGTATATATATATATATATATATATATATATATAAAAATCACTTGTATGTGTGTGAGTGTGTGTGTGTGTGAATTTGTGTGTGTCAGGGTGTGCATCTGTGTGTGTGTGTGTGTGTGTATATATATATATATATATATCAGTGAATGTCATATGAATTTGTGTGTATGTGTTGGTGTATTTATATGCATCTGTGTGTTAATGTGTATGAATATCTGTGTAGGGATGTATGTATGTATGTGGTACTGTATGTGCATACATCCAAGCAGTCAAACACCAGCACAACATACAAGCACACTCCTGAAATCTAACTCAAATATTACATACACACACCCCTGCATTCAAAAAAAAAAAAAAAATAGAAACACACCCCTTCACTTAAACACAAATACTTCACACAAATGTACAGCCGCATTTAAAAGTGAACATTCAGAGACCCCCCCTGCAATCAAATGCAAACATTACATTCAAACACACCCCTGTATTAAAACACATTAACTATATACAAGCACCCCTTCAAACACTAACACTTTACATTACACTATAGCGCTAGCAAATGCCGCAGCGCTGTACTGATATACAACCTAGAAATTTTGACTCGGGGCACCTTGGGAAAATACTGAAACATTAAGGGCGCCTTGGACCTAAAAAGTTTGAGAACCACTGCTCTAAAGCATTAAACTAATTATGCTTTATTTTATGACGTAAATCATTATATTAATATCATTACAGTTGCGCTGCTCCTCTTCAGGCCAGGAGCCAACATCGTCATTACAGTACTCTTGCAAATGCACGAGAATACAGCATTAAAGGTCTATAGGGAATCCTGCGAGACCGCTGGGATCCTCCGTAAACCCAGTCAATACCTGAAGACGTAATTGAATATGGCTGCACGTCTTGACATATGGGCTCCATCTTGGGTCGGAAAATGTCTGGCGGAGGAGATATACAGATTCAAAGTAGTGCCTACTTTGTCTCTGTATTTCTCTTGACTGGGTTGGAATTTTTAGTGAAATTTCATCACAGTCATAATGAATATTTAATTATTATTATTATTATTTATATAGCGCCATCAGATTCCGTAGCGCTGTACAATGGGTGGACTGACAGACATGTAATTGTAACCAGACAACTGGACGTACTGGAACAGAGAAGTGGAGGGCCCTGCTCAATAAGCTTACATTCTAGAGTGAGTGGGGTATAGTGACACAAAGGGTAAAAGTAGGGGTATGAAGTAAGTTAGTAAAGTATTCACTGCGGACTTAGTAGGTCATTTTTGACAGTAGCAAGAGAGGAGTCATGGGGGTGGGGGATGAAAACCTACTAACAGTTTAATTGATAAGCTTTCTTGGAGAAGTGAGTTTTCAGTGATTTTTTTTTTTAATGAGTGGAGACTGGGTGAAATTCTTACGGAGAAGGGAAGGGAGTTATCAATGCATTTGAGGATGCAACAGTCCCTGGGTGCCAGCGAAAGCAACGTTTTATCACACATGCTCCTAAACTGGCTCACAAATATCAAGGGGGTTGCACCCATAGTCTCTTAGCAACACAATGACGTCAGTGTGTTTAGCTGCATGGAGGCTGCGACATGACTCCTTTTTGTTTGTGAGGTTGTTTCAGCTAAGTTGTGATATTTCTGATGTGTATTTTTAAAATTGTTATACCAGTTGTGACATCAGTACTTGTCAGGCTGCTCATAACAGTTGCAATTTCATGACTGTTTGACTCTCTGATGATTAAATGCTAGTTGTGACTTTACTGCAGTGTTTGTTAAGTTGTTGCATGATAGTTGAGACACCTAAACTGTATGAGTCTTATGTTGTTGAAAGTCATTTGCGACATACACTGATCATCCACAAGATTAAAACCACTGACAGATTAAGCGAATTAAATTGATCATATCGTTAAAATGACACCTGTCAACGGGTGGGATGTATTAGGCAGCAAGTGAACAATTAGTTCTTAAATTTCATGTGTTGGAAGCAGGAATAATGGGCGAAAAGATCTGAGTGACTTTGACAAGGACCAAATAGTGATGACTTGACAACTGGGTCAGAGTATTTCCAAAATGGCAAGTTTTGTGGGGTGTTTCCGATATGCAGTGGCCAGTACCTACCAACATTGGTGAACTGGTGTCAGGGTCAAGGGCTCCCAAGGCTCGTTAATGCACATGGGGAGCGAAGGCTAGCACGTTTGAGAAGTAAGTAAGAAGAGTTACTGAAGCTCAAATTGCTGAAAAACTTTAAGCTGGCCATGATAGAAAGGTGTCATAACACAGTGCTTTGCAGTTTGCTGCGAATGGGGCTGCAGAGCCTTAGACCAGTCACAGTGCCCATGATGCCCCCTGTCCACCTCCGATAACACCTTCAACAAGAATGGGAGCATCAGAACTGGGCCATGGAGCTATGGATAAAATTGCCTGGTCTGATGAATCATGTTTTAAATCAGGTGGATGACCAGGTTGTGTGCATCACTTACGTAGGGGAGAGATGGCAGCAGGATGCACTACGGGAAGAAGGCAGGCCGGCGGAGGCGGTGTTATTCTTTTGGCAAAGTTCTGCTGGGAAAACATGGGTCTAGGCATTTATGCGGATGTTACTTTGACACGTACTACGTTGACATGTACCTAGAGATTGTTGCACACCACGTTCATGACAATGTACAAAATGTTTAGGAATAGTTTGAGGAACATGAAAAAGAGTTCAAGGTGTTGCCTTGGACTCCACATTCCCCTGATCTCAATACGATTGAGCATCTTTGGAATGTGCTGAAACAACATATCCAATCCATGGAGGCCCCACCCTGCAACTTGCAGGACTAAAATGATCTGCTGCTAATGTCTTGGTACCCGACACCACAGGGCATATTGCCTTGATGCACCAGAGCTATTCTGGCAGCATGAGGGTGACTTACAGTGTCTAAGGCCAATGCCAGTATCTGAAATGGTCACAGGTTAATCTAGACTTCACTGTTGTGGGATTGTATGGTGATTGCTTTTCTGTATGATTCTTCAGAATTGATAAAGACTGTGGTCGAAACGCGTTAGTGCGGTTGTTTACGAGAGATCTTTAGTTTTTGGTGTTTATACACATTTTAATCAATTTAATTAAAGTTTGTTCCTAAAACCACCCCTATATTTGGTGTCTATTTGGTAACCCAAGGGAAAGTGGGTTACCACTTTCCAACTACCAATTTCCAGCATCTGATCTCAGCAACCATCTCTATATACCCAAAAGGCGCTCATAGTCTGAGCCCACTTTAAATGGCTCAACACCACGTGAGTGGGATAAGTTTTATTCTATTTTTTCAGTTCCTTATACAGGTTATACTATGATTTGTTATTCTTTGCCTTTTTAGGTTGTACCCTGTTATATGGTAACTTGCATTGGTGTGCTATTATACACTATATTGTATGCTCTCACCTAACTGTCTATTCACTTTATATTTGACAAGCTAATTGCCTCATCTCTACTTGGTATTTGTAAAACTGTTGTAAGCTAGTTGTGACATTAGTTCCATGCAATGTTTTAGAACTTTACATTACTTCCTGCAATGTTTGTAAAGTTTTGACATCTAAACTGTGGGAGTCTTATGTTGTTAAAAGTAATTTGTGACATATCTGTTCAGCGGCTATAGGGCTATTATCAGCTTCAAAGATTATGCTTGTAAGATTCTTGGATCTGTTTTGTGTAGTGGCATATCTTTTGTGTGGTTCTAAGGTAGTTGCCAGCTTGTTGTGCCATCACAGCTGTGTTTTCATGAGATTGTGATAGGGTAGGTTTAACATAATTACCTTAAGTCTAAGATTGTTGCTGTCTGTTTGTGACATCAATGCTATGTGGGTTTAATGCCGAAGGCTAATTGTGTCATCATTACTTTGTTGCTGTTTTTTTTTTTGCTAAGGCTTTTTTTGTTGAATCTACGTTTTGCAGACAAGTTGTGACATCAATTGTATGTGTGTATAAAAGTTGCAGACAAGTAGTAGAATTTTGCACACTTTTATCAGTAGCACCGAAGCTCTGTGGTAGAGTCCACTAATCTCCAAATATAACCACAAGTGAAGAGCAACAGGCTGCACACCACCGTAGGGTGAACCAGATAGTTTGATTGTGGAATAAAAAACAAGGATACAATGTTTTGGCCATATATGATTAAAGTCTCAAGGCTGAAATTTTGTATCCTTGTTTTGTCCTGTATTCAACAATAAAACGATCTGGTTCGCCCTACCCTGTGCAGCCTGAGGCCATTCACTTGTGTATAAAAGTTGCAGTTCAGTTATGGTATCATTGCTTTGTGATTCTAGGATAATTAAAGAGAAATTGTGACATCACTGCTGTTTGGAAGCTTGTTTCAGATAAGTTGTGAAATCACAATGAGACTATTGTTATAGATCACTTTTGATAACTCCTCTGTATGTTTCTTAGCCAATGATGTCACTACTGCTGTTTTAATGTTCTCAGAGGGTAGGTGTGACATCATCCCCTGGGTGTTTGTAAGGTTGTTACAGGATAATTGTTGATTCAAAGCTGTGCATTTTATGAATTTTGCTCCAAATATTACTTATTAACCTCTTGTGTACTTTGTGATGACAGATTACCTTTTAACCCTTTGTTTACTTTGTGCTGTCAGAGCCTGCTGTGTAAATGCCTCACAAACACACGTCAGTCTGAAGACACTTCAGCAATAGCTGTCCTCCTCATGAGTGAGGTAGTCAGGCAGGATTCCTCCTAGTGGACACCAAATATCTGATAATGCTAAACCATCCTATAGCCTTGAGACACCCTATGCTAGCTCTGGTGGCGAGCTATTGTGGCATGTACCCTGGTATTTCTTGATACATCAGGCTAGAGGCAAGTCTGGAAATACTAGCAACTAGTAAGGTAGATATGTAAAACCTAAATCAAGAGTAGGCAACCATGGCACTCTAGATGGTGTGGGCTACATTTTCTATGATGCTTTGCCAGCGTTATGGCTGTAAAAGCATTATGGGATATGTAGTTCACAACATCTGGAACACAATATGTATCAATATATGTTTGAGGGGTTTTTTTTTGTATATGTTTTTATGCCTGCAACATCCAGTTGATAAATAAATCAAACTCACTCTATCTGCTATTTAATTTTTTGGTTGGGGTCAGGAGGCACCTTAGAATTGTGTACCTATAGGCAGCCAGCATGTAATTCTAACCCTAGCTGCAGCAAAAAAAGGATCCCTTTAAGTAAAATAAAGTTTAGTCACCTCTTTTCCAGTGCCAGGACTCCTTTTTCCGCAGCCTCTAGCTCCTCCTTTGGTGATGTCAGCATCCAAGTTTGCATCACCCGCAATCTCCTAAAATCCATTGCTTCTCATAGAGAAGTAATAGATTGGAATTTGGAATGTGTGACCAAAAACTGTGCTCCTCCAATGAAATGCTGCTATTAGCAGGATTTGACTCCCAGACAGAGTTTCGGTATGGAGGAGGAAGTGTCTCTATTGGCTGTCAGGAAGAATTTCGAGCATCTACTGCTAATACACTGTAAGCAGAAAACAAATCCCTCCCAAACTAGGGAGAGGCTTTATTAAAAATCAGCCTCTCATTTTAATCTATAGTGATTATTATCATGTTTACTAGGGGTGTTAAAATTAGCTTACCTGGAAATGTCACCAATTCAAAGGAGAACAAAATGTCCTTTAATTTCTTAATATGGTGAGTAGAACTGTACGGACTACCTAAGCTGCAAGGCCTGCTACCAGGTGACTAAATTGTATTCACAAGGAAGCTGCAAAATAATTCACTTGATGTGCTTGAGGACCTCGGAAGGACATTGGAATGGCTGGGAGAACCACTAGGAGATTGGAACAAAGGAAACACTACCAGAACCAATGGTACAATACAAAAACAAATCTAAAAAAACAAAAGCACTTGCAGAATAAGAAAATATGGAACAAGACTCAATAAAGCATGACCTATGAGGGAAGGAAACTGAACTAGAGTCAGTCATAAATATCCTGTAATAACCTTAGAAAAACACGGCAGTAATGTTATTGTTGCACAACAGTTAGTTACACAGACATCAGACTACACTAAACCTTCATAATTTTAGTCACATGAGAGTGACTTCACAACTTATCTGTAACAACCTTACAAACACACAACAATGATCTCACAACTGAACCACAGAAACCCACAACATTAAAGGAAGATTATAGGGTCAGGCACACAAACATGTATTCCTGACGCTATTGTCTTAAAATATCAATTTAGCCCCCCTGTCTCCCTAAATATAGTAAAATCTTACTTGTATTCAAGTCTGCAACTGCTTGCTCTGCCCATTATCTGCCTGCTTGGCTGACATCATCAGAAGTGATTATCTGAGCCAAACACAATGCTTTCCCTTAGGATTGGCTGAGCGTGTCAAGGAGGCAGATCGGGTCAAAGGTAGCACTAGCCAAACACAGCCCTGGCCAATCAGCATCTCCTCATAGAATAAATGCATCTCTATGAGGAAAGTTCAGTGTCTCCATGCAGTGGGTGGAGACACTGAATGGCAGTTTTGCACAGTGTGCAGCACTGCCCCAGGAAGCACCTCTTGTAGTCATCTGACGAGTGGCAAGTGGAGGTATCCTTAGGTTGTAATGTAAACACTGCCTTTTCTTGCCTTTTCTCTGAAAAGACTGTGTTTACTGCAAAAAGCCTGAAGGGAATGATTATACTCACCAGAACAAATACAGTAAGCTCCGACTATAGTGTCCCTTTAAAATCCAAACTACTGTGTAACTACCTTACAAACATATAGCAGTTATGTCACAATTACACTTTAAACACATTACACATATACAGCAGTGATGCCACAATTAGCTAGTAACTACTGTAGAATCCTACACATTTGAGATCAAAACTGCCATGCAACTAAATGATAGACGCACAGCAGTGATGGCACACTTACGCTTCAACACACATTTTGTTGCAACTAAGCTGCTTTAGTCTTAGAACCACACAATATTGATGTCACAACTACCCTGAAACTACTTTAAAAATACATACACTGATGTTACTACTACCTCACAAAGCCATGATGTCAATGCCAGAATGCAGTAACCTTAGAACCACATAATGTAGATGTCACAGATGCCTGAGGACTACATAGATGTTACAAACAACATACACACAGTTGCAGTATCACAACTAATCTGTAACTAACATTCTAACAAAGACAGCAGTGCTGTCACAACAAGCCTGGAACAATGTTTTAAGTTTATTAATAAATCATCCACTTTTTTATTATAAAGGGACACTATAGTCACCAGAACAACTACAGCACATTGCATTTGTTCTGGTGAGTATAATCATTCCCTTCAGGGGTTTTGCAGTAAGCACTACATTACAGCCTAGAGATTCCTCCAGTGACCACTCCTCAGATGGCTACTATAAGTGCTTCCTTGGGCAGTGCTGCCCTTCAGTGTCTCCACCCTCTGCATGGAGACAGTGAACTCATAAAGATATATTGATTCAAGATGGAGATGCTGCCAGGGCTGTTTTTGGCTTCTGCTGGCTCTGCCCCTGATCTGCCTCCTTGACAGTCTCGGCCAATCCTATGGGAAAGCATTTGATTGGCTTCTGATCAATATTTCTGATGAAGTCAGCCAAGTAGGCAGATCATGGGCAGAGGCAGCAGCAGACTGGAATAAACATAAGATTTTATTATATTTAGGGTGGCCAGAAGGTATAGATGGTGTTTTAACACTATGGGGTGAGGAATACTTGTTTGTGTTCCTGGCCCTGTAGTGTTCCTTTAATTGTCTGTGTGATTCTGGCTACCTTTTGTATGGGGGCAAGATATTTTGTTCTAGGTATGTGGTTTGGAGATCATTATGAATGTATGCAGATTTTAAGGTACTCTCACACGTACTTTTCATACAACGTTCATCCTCTATTTTTTTCTTTGTTTTTTGGGTACTTCCTATTTTAAGAGGAATTCACATGTGCTGTTCAGTTCGTCGTGGTGATTTTTATTAAAGGTCCACATGTAAGTAAATACATAAATTCAACATTAAAATCAAAACACATTTAGTCAATCAGCTTTAACCTAAATAAAACTTGCCATGCAAGTCTATTCTATCTTTTAAATGGGAATAACCTTACCCCAATAATATACCACAACAAGTAAAAGTCTGAATTCAACATATCACATTCTCTAACAGACATAATCCAATAGATTCTAATAATAAACATATTCAAATAAATAAAAAATATATATATACAAACATATAGCATACATACTAAATCAGGGTATGACAAATCCCTGGGTGCTTGTCAGCCTGTTCAGCTGAGGAAGTATGGAGGTGGCTGACCAACCGAGGGAAAATTGAGCTGGGTGGCAAGGGAAACCGCTGTAACCTTTGAGGTTTTTTGTGCTCTGCTCCGTAGCGCACCCTGCTGTGATGCCGGGAGCCATGATATGATGTCACTGTGGCCCTTGCATCCCTAAACAGTGCACAAGGGACCAGAGGAAGAAGAGCTTGAAGATTACAGGAGCACAGCAGCCCCACTGGACCCCAGGGAAAGGATCCATTCCAGGCTGGGTGGATTTCTTTTTTTCTTTTTTTTTGTTAAATAATTTGTGAGTGTGTAAGATAATTTGTGCAAGTGTGTCACTAGCAGGGTGTGTGTGTGTGTGTGTCTGTCAGTGAGTGTTAGTTTCTCTGAAAGGTAGTGTTTATAGTGAAAAGCTTGCAGTGACATGCTGTAGACACCAGAACCATTACATTAAGCTATAATTCCTTTGAGTTGTGTTTTTGTAGTTGAAAATGAAGCTTTGTTAGTTAAAAAAAACAAAAAACAGGCTCATAACTTTTTTAGCTGGCTCCAAGATTCCAAGCAAATTTGTCAAGCCCTCTACTAAATAATAATACTAGGGAGGGAGGGCACTCATGATATAGCTCCTGCAAGGCACTGCTTGAATGGGCGTTGGCACAGGCAACTAATAGGAAGTTTCAGCCCTATAAGCTGAAAAATGTTCTTGCTGGTGAATGTAATGCGCATTTATACAAGAAGATACTGCTATACAACATTGTGCTGCAATGAAAATGTTGATTGCCATATACCATAATAACATTGATGGTATTTCAATTTTAGTGTTACATGTTAAGTCTATTCTTTCTTACGCCCTCTTCCAGGAATGAAATTTGCCTCTGTGAATTCTTTTGAATGAAATTTGCCTCTGTGAATTCACCAGTTTTAATTCGCCTCTTTCAATTCGCAAGTTTTAATTCGCCTGTGTAAATTCGGCAGAAAATTTGCCCCGAATGTAATGCGCCATTGAATCTGATACGCATTAAATTTTTGTACATTTTATTTTCCAGAAAAGGTGCACATTAGATTTGAGTAAATACAGTATATCACACTCACAGATACACACGCAACTATTATGGAAAAATAATGGCATCGTAAACCACAAGACCAAAGGTTTAGTGTCTTGTGAATGTTTTCAGAACCCTGAGATGACACAGGTTTGACTCTTTTGAATCTTGTATGTTACGTGATATAAATAATAAAACAAATATGTCCTCACTCCTCCAGGTGGTATTTTTGTATTCCTCATTCTCTGAGAGTCTGAAGGTTCTGTGCAGTATGTTAGTTGTTCCTATAACTGCACTCTACTAGACAGAGATCTCTGATGTTCTAACTTTAGGGTTATAGCCCCAATTACCCCTATCACAACTGGGACTAATACGGCATACATAGTCTTCTTGATGTTATGTTCATTGGGTGTATTGCCACATCCACCACTGCTGACTTCCATTCCTTGTCTACCACCACAGTGTCATGTTGGTTGGCTAGTATTTGCTTCTCTATCTGAATCTGGAAGTCTCACAGGATCTTAGCCCTGTTATGCTCAATTCCTCTTAATGGTACTTCCCATCCGGACTTACTCATATTCAGTGCAGATGTTTCGTTACACAATGCAGGCAACTAGGTTGTGCCTCACTGTATGCTGTCCCTGCTTAAATCTTAAATCTAGATAATATGTGCTGGTCTGTCTCAGAAGCATCTTTGCACAGTCTGCACCTTGGGTCCTGTCTGGTGCGGTAGACTCTTGCTTCTATTCATCTAGTGCTGAGTTCCTATTCCTGTTCTTCTAGGATGCTGTTCTAGAGTGCTCTCTTTCAGTCCTGCTGTTTCCAACCGGTAGGATCTGGTAGGATCTTGTAAGTGAGTTACATTCCTATATGCCGATGGTACATCCTATGGAGAGATTTTTCTTGTCATGAAACCTCCTAATTCTTTGCATCTTTTATCAATTGTTGTCTCAGGCATTAGCAGCTCATCTTTGGGAGCTATGCTAATACGTACTTGTGAATGCTTTGTCTTTCTTCCAGGACTGTGGCCCTGACTATCATCAGGCCTTGACCTTCCATCCGGTATACAGTCTCTGGCTGCTGGATCTTGGGTGTAATACTCCATCATAGTGAGTAGCTTTTGGGTCTTGATATCCATGGTGTCCATTTCTTCTTGTTGCCAGCTTATTGTCCCAGGTGGGTACCTGATTAATGGTAGGGTGTATCTGTTGATTACGTGGATCTTGCCCTTGAGCTGAGAGTTCAAGACCTGTCTGATTATCTGGAGGTACTTGGATGTTGCTGTCCTTGCTTTTTCCTCAAGGTTACCATGAGTTTGTGGTATCCTCAGGTACTTGAAGCTGTTCTCTACATCTCCTATTTCGCCATTTGGCACTTTTTGCTATCACCCGCCCACACTTATGTAGTCTGAATGACTGAACATCACATTGAAATATGCCACATTTGATCATTTGTGTAATTGTCTTGAAATTGGCTTCTAGGGATGTCTCCACTGCCCATTGAGTTGTTGATGAAGTGTTTTGTTGACCTCGTATAGAGCCTTTCATTCCTATATACATGAGTGTGGCATTGTGTCATAGGCAGTCTGACTCACTGAGCACAAGAACTACAAGGGAGTGATTACTGTGGTCTGCACCTGCCAGAGGTGGATACAACATGCCTCCCCACTCGACTACCAGGAACTTTAAGCCACAGTTCCCCTCTTTGCAGAAAGCTATGCAAGAGGAAGGCAAACCAGAGCACACACAAACACAGTATACACAGCAAGCACAAATCACACACACAGCCAAAACACACCACATACTCACGAACACAGTCAGCACACATCACAAACCACACACACAGCCAGTTCACACCATAAATAAACACTCTACTTTTATATTAGCCACTCTCACTGCCACATACTCAATATTAGCCACTCAAACAAATATTTATTGATATATAATGTGTGAATGATAATGCTTATTGTATTTCTACATACACAAAAGCAATATTCCATTGTAAATTTGAATTATTGTACAGTTTGCGATTATAGTATTGGCATTGCTATAGCTTTTATTGCAAAAACAATATTTTTATTTGCAGTTCCAAGTTAGTATAGCAAAGGTGTAGATATAACCGGCAAAAGAAAAGTGTATGAGACAATTCTAGGTCAGTCATTTCAGGCACAGCAAATGTGGCAACACATAGAGGGTTATTCACTAATGTGCAAATTTTCCAAATCAATTCCATATGGTAAAATGGTGAAAATAGCAGACTCTCACTGGGAAAACTACTCTCTGGAAATATAGCATTTAGTGCATAACCCTCATAGAATTAAAAGGACACTATAGTCACCAGAACAACTACAGCTCACTCCCTTCAGACTTTTTGCAATAAACACTGTATTTCCAGAGAAAATGCAGTGTTTATTTTACAGCCTAGGGATAACTCCACTGGCCACTCCTCATATGGCTGCTAAAGGTGCTTCCAGGGGCAGTGCTGCACTGTCATTCGGTGTCCCCACCCTCTACATGGAGACATTGAACTTTCCTCATAGAGATGCATTGATTCATTGGATCTCTATGAGGTAATGCTGATTGGCCAGGGCTGTGTTTGACTTGTGTTGACTCTGCCCCTGATGTTCCTCCTTGACAGTCTAAGCCAATCCTATGCTTCCCCATGGGAAAGCATTGTGATTACTCAGAACAACACTTCTAATGATGTCAGCCAAGCATACAGATCAGGGGCAGAGCAAGCAGCAGCAGACTGGAGTAAAGGTAAGATTTTAGTATGTTTAGGGAGGGCAAAAGGGAGCTAGATTGTGTTTTTAATACTTTAGGGTCAGACATACATGTTTGTGTTCTTAACCCAATAGTGTTCCTTTAGACATGGATGCAGTACTAATAAAGTACTTATAAAACAGGTGTAACAGAAACCAGATTTGTATATAGAGTAAGATGTTTATTTATACATATGTATATGTTTTTTTTCTGCATACATCACTATGTGTATCTGTATGAATGTGTATTAACCGTTTGTACAGAACAACTGAGAAGGCACAGTTTATCCCAGCTTATAAGGTGTGCATGGTCAACATGGTTATTTGAGCTGTGTGTTATTCCTTTTTGTTAGTTTTTTTAAACTTGCCCCATGTCTAAGACAAACTTTGTATGGGGTGGTTTGCTGCTTTAAGTACACCCACTCGGTATTGATCGCCGGCATGTGCGATGAGTTGAGCAGAAGAAAGTATTTCTCCTGGGGAGAACTGTTTTAATGTGATCAGTGGTATGGAACTGAATACATTTCTTTTATTTAAACATGCATATTTAGTAGTTGGTATAGTCATGAAAATGCTGTCTTAACTTTGGCTAATGTTAGTTATTTTGTGGTTTATATCACCCGTGTTTTTATATAATCAATTTCCCCTAACATTGCCTGCCTATGTAGGGCTTGTGCTAAATGAAGGTGTATTATTAATGTATGCCCAGCAGAGGGCTACATGTTAATTGCACCAAACTTAATTTAAATCAAGGTTTCAAGGTATTTAAATGTCCTGCTATTCAGTAATCAGAAACACATAGCTTATAACAAAGCACCATTTTATTTACCATTTATGCACCAACAGAGATTGGTGATTCATGGTGTAGAGAAACAAGTATATTTGCTTAATGTAACCACTTATTCTGTTTCATTCAGTCATTTTTATTTTAAATACGGAACTTTTTGGTGTTGTGTCATCTTCATACAAGCAGCACTGAATTACCAATATAGCTGTCAAGAAGAGGTTATTAACATTACGCCATGAAGACTTTTTGGCATTAAAAGTGCTAATGGGGTGTGTTTGGTCCTTGTTAGGGGTGTCCTGCAGCGTTTGGGAGCTGTGTTCCTCCCTGCAGATCGAGGACCATTGAGTGATGCTGTACTCTCAGCTGTAAGATATCTTTAAAAAGTCATTATGTGCTATATTCAGGCTTCTGCCCTTTATAATTTGTATATCCTGTCAATGTTTGTTTTCAGGCATTATCAGTCACTGTCTGATATTCTGTGCCACTCTCTATTTCCCAGTTCTGTCTGTTTATGTCCTATTTGTCAGTCACTGTCTCTTTCCCGTCTCCATCTCAGTTCTACAGTTTCTCCTTCCTTTTCCTCCTGTCTTCATATTGTTATCTGTTTGTTTCTTGATGCCTTTATATTCTATTTTTGTTTTCCATTATTATTTGCTACTTTGTTACACACTATGCATCCACTGCTAAAACTATTACTCTTGTTGTCAATTCTGTTTCAGTATACTTGGACATTGCTAGCTGAAGGCCACTCTTTGCTTATCTTTTTGGAATGTCCATCATCTCATGGCTCTCGCTCCGTGTCAGCAGTCGGGTGTGAATGGGTGCGGCAGGTGATGGGAGCTCTTCATTCTAGAACAGTATCAGACATCCTTATTGTACCAGTTGGGATTTCCTATGACTGTCGTCCAGAAGACAGTGTCTTTGGAGGAAAGGTGAGAATATGTAGAACACATATTATGTGAAATCTCATTGAAACTGTTGGGTTGACTCGTGGATCTTTGGTCATCCATAAAAGTTACTTAATATTTAGTCTCAATTGTTAAATAAAACAGGCACGTTTAGATACTACATTTCATCTCTATGCTCTTCCTTCCATGTCGTCCTTTTCCACAGGCATTGTTATCTGGTGTTCTGCGATCCTTTCTGTCTTTTCTCTGCCCATGGTTCATCACCTTAGGATGTGCACGTGTGGATTTTGCCCAGCCAATTTCGTTGCAAGTATGCGTCTGAAATATACATTACTGTTATGAGATATTTCAAAAAATATCCTAGGATACAAAGGAGAAATTAAGAGTGGGAGCACCCTTCTCCCAAACACCGAAAACATAAACCACAAAAAAGCACTGCCACTGATGTAGTGCTCTTATGGAATATACACATCAACGTTCTGTGGCCACAGATCTTAAGGATAAAACAACTTTTACATAGTTTAAAAAAATGTTTAGCAGCATTATGTATCTTAACAATGCCTGCGTATTTGGTCACGACTTCCTCTCTGTCACTCACTCCTTTCTGTCACTCTTTTTTCCCCTTCTCTATATAAATCAGTTAAAGGACAGGGATAATGAGACACCTTGAATAGACTGCAGCTTTTCCCTATAACATCAGCACATACTTAGTTTCCTAAGATTAGACCTTCGCCTCAAAAATCCAAAGTAGCTGAAGTCTGTGTCAGTAACTTCAGGGACCTGTAGAGACAAGAATGTATTAATTATCACAATGAAGCAGCTACTGAGCCAAGTCGAGAAATCTATAATGTCCACAAAACCCACAGGAAAGGAGGGAACTTTAGGTAGGTAGCACATAACGTGTTGCTACAGAAGTAACCTCATTACCAGTCATTTGAGCATGTCATTGTAAATTCATTTGAATGATGTCCTATATATTTGCAGCATATTATATACATAGAGAATGGATGAATGGCATTTAGGTTAAAGTGCAGTGTTTTATATCTCTCTAAAAGCAAATGAAGAATGTTTGTGCAGATTTATTTTATACTAAGTCCGCACTCTTGATTGTTGCAGATCTTCATGTAATCTCTGCTTCCCTGACGATTTACAATAAACATGTTCAGGTGCAATGCTATTGTCTTGTGACATGGCATCACATGTGGCCTAGCCTAAGCATGCCTACATGATATGAACACTGAGAGTTGCTGGTGTCTGGCAAAAAAGTGGCAAGTTACAGGTGTCTGACAGAATGGAAACAAAGCTACTATCCAAGCACCTCTGAAGACAGACATAGTTAAGATTTCCCATGACAAACCTTACCCATATGCTGATTGTTTGCATCTTTGGACATTGAAGCTTAAAGGGACACTCCAGGCACCCAGACCACTTCTGCCCATTGGAGTGGTCTGGGTGCCAACTCCCACTACTCTTTTTTTTTTTTTTATAAACTGCAATAATTACCTTGCAGGGTTAACTCCACCTCTAGTGGCTGTCCTCACGTGTGAGGACCTCCAGCGTCGCTCACTTCCCCATTTTCAATGCTTTCCTATGGGGAGCATGCCGCGCATGCGCATTAGGTCTCTGCGGCGGCAGAGGAAGAAGCAGCGATGTGGGACATCGTTGCTGCCTCTGGTAAGTTACTGAAGGGGTTTTCACCCTTTCAGCAACCGGAGATTGGGGGGTGGGAGGGAGAGGGGACCTGCAGTGCCAGGAAAATTGATTGTTTTCCTGGCACTGGAGTTTCCCTTTAACATTTAGCGCTTTTGGACTGGTTTGAGAGTTACTTTTATACTCCTGTCTCAACAAAAAATTAACTTTTCTTTGTTTTGCAGGAATACATATTCAATCATCAATGGAGACATGTATCTCCTCCTCTTCCCCTAAAGGACACACTGCTTCCTTACATTTTGGGCTACAGGTAATGCAATCATAAAGCTTGATACAACGGGAAAAGTCTGTTGTTGATGGGGCTCATGGGTGGTTATGACCTTGCTTTGACCTTATTGCAAGACTGGGAGACTTACTGGTTCTTCTGGGCCTGTCAGGTCACTAACCCTATCCTTTGAGCAAGGCACCAGGGTAACTTTTGGACTGCTCGGTAGAGAGGAGGATAAGAGTTTATTTTCAACACCATTTTGTAGGCAGCAGTCATCCAGCACTGGTTTAGAAAATTTGATGGTAGAAACTCTCATTTAACTGGTCATGTAATTTGTTTCAACAACAAAACCAAATATGCTATATATCTATTTTGGTGCCACTTATAGTGCCTATTACTCTTGGTGTGTTTTAAATGAGAATGTTTATTTTTTTCTCTGATTAGAAACAAGATATATGATGAGTTTGAATTAGAGATGGTTACTTGCACAGCAGATGAACAAGAACAGGCCTTGGTTGATGGCTTTATCCTGCATTCTCTGAGAGGTAACAGGACCATTTTATTTGTTTATTGTCAGTAGACTTCTTTTTTTCACTATATGTCTTAAAAGGAAATTTGCCACCCCCGTAAGAACGTCAGCTTGTTTAAGTTGTTATGGGTCAAGAGTGTCTATTGTGGGTAAGATGCCATCTTACTTTCAGGGGTTAAACCATCTGACAACAGTTTGACCCTGAAGGTGGGACACCAGCTCCTGGCACTTCTCTCTCTGTTCGTCTCTGCACTGCAGTATGAGGAGTGGTTAGCAAGGCGGCTGCCGATTGGTTGAGAACATTAACTGATACTTCCAAGATGGCTGCTTCCATATCAAAATTTTGTTATAACTTTTGAGAATTATTGAGAGTACAATTATCACTACATTGTTCTACAGTGATTGTGATGCTAGGCGTGCTCTGATGCCCCTAATGTATGTAGTCAAACTGTTTGCTAATAGTTTCAAAACTTATGTGGGAACCACAGAGCACCAATCACCTTCGCCATTGACAGATGGAAGATCACTACTTCGTGCTAGGCTGGCGTGCTGGCTTAGCTCATTGGCTGAGATCATTCTTGCTGGAGATTCTGGCTATGAATGGAGGACGTGACCTGCTCACAACAGACTTCAGTTTAGGTTGGCACCAGGATACCTCAGGCACCATAACCACTATAGTGTGCTGTAAAAAGGATGATGCTTGGAGTGTTCCTTTTAATGGTAATTGAAACTAAGTTACAATTACCTTAGTTGGGTTAGATGAAAATATTTTTAATTTGATTATATTGGGAATATTATATTAAACTAGTCTATGAGAAATACACTGTATTACTTTTGTAATATATATTTAAACTATATACTGTCACATTTATTACATTAATTGTTTTATTTTTTCACATACAGTTCATTTCTGTAGGCATGTTTATGAACCGTTTGAGACATTTTTTTCACATAGTAATTTACTCAAGCCCGTCAAGATAAACATTCCAGCATTCTATATTTCTGTTTCCATTAAAATCATTTCCATTCTGCTTTAATGGAGAACGCACTCTTCCTTAACAGAATAGCAATCAGATTTCTATAACAAGCCATTTTTAATAATGTTTATATTGTAAAATGTCATATACCTAGCTGCAGAATCATATTTATTTTAGTATCAAACTAAATATGATCCAAACAATTTTTAACTTCTGAAGGACAAAGGTTGAGACAAATCCACTTACATCATGACATTCCTGGTAGGTCAGTGGTGAAAGAAGCAAAAGTAAAAAAAAGTACTTTTTTTTTTTTCTGCAAACCAACATCTTCACTTTAATCATGTGTGTAAGAGCAAACAGAATCACAAATCCTTGGTTACTGCATCATGGCATAACACCCTGGATGTTGTAAGGATACAATCATTATTTGTGGCAGTGACTACTCTGTAATTGGGGGAGGGCTAAGGTTCTGTTAATAAAAAAATGGTTGTTTGCATACTTCATGTCAAAATAACACATGAAAAATCTGTAACTTTTTTTGATCAACTTTGTAATTTTGGGTAAGATTTTATTTGTCCTTCTACTTATGATAGTGTAGTCTTTAGCAAATAGAAACGCCAAATTGTATGCTGGGGTATTAAAACGGAAAGTCCGTGGATGCACTCTATTCTCAATCACATGAACAGGACAGGCTTTGACCACTTTAACACTTTGCAATGTGTTGCTCTTTTTACCTTTTAGTATTCTGGTGTTATGTATGTGTTCATACAATCAGAGGTTTAGTGACTAAGTCCACGTATCCTGAAAGGTGGCTGGATAATATATCTTCGGCTTGGTAGAGATGGGGTTAATGTTGTTTAATTACCAAGCTTTATCTAAGTGCATATACCCCCCTCCCACCCGTCTCTCCACAGCTAGTTGCTCCTCCTGGCATCATGTCGTAGGCGGCCATCAGATTTATTCTTATGCCTTTCCTCTTCATTAATGTAAATTGCTCCTTCTCTCTCATTCCCTTTGTCTGGGAGTCTATTGAATACTTTGATTAATTCGGGTTTTACGTACACAAGCTGAATTGATCTTTTGTCAGATGACAACAATTCAGAACAAAAGGGTGGGGAGTGCAACAATATTATCAAAGTTGTCACTGTGTACTGATGCGTGACCCTATAAAATCACAACTGCCCGTTTAGTAATGGTGTTCCTACTGTGTCTTCTTCTTCAACCCAAATAAACCTGTATCTTATCAACTCTTTATATATCTTTCCTTATAGCTAATGTTTGTATACAACTGAAAAAATCTGCTTTTACAATGAAGGGAAGTGAATTCTATAAACCTATTCAGACTGAGTATTGTGGTGAGCGTAGGATTAGTTACCCCAGAGTGTTTTATTTGATTTTTTAGAACAGGTTCCCAAATTACACACAAGGCATTGACCACCCCCATACTTCAATTTTAAAATAAGTTCAGAAATCCATTTAAATGTAATTGCCCCAAATGCTCGGTTTGCAGAATTGTGCTCTTAAAGCAATGGTCACCTTTCTGACACTGGGAATTGTCTATTGAAGGCAATTCATTTTCAATATATCAAGGTAGATATACTTCCCTGAAATGTTATCTTTATGAAATGCTCAGTATGACCAGAGATTAGAAAGCTGCTTAAGGAACCCCTGATTTATCCTATACCTTCCTTTCTAAACATGTATCAGAGTATCAGAAGATAAATGCAACATTAACACCTTATAACAACATTCCTGTTTTTAGATATAGGGTCTGCATTGCAAACATTCTCTTGCAAAGAAACATTTTGATAACATTACATATATCTTGGTCATTTGTTCCAAATTGTATTGCCTTACCAACCTAGAGAGAAATGCAATTAATTTATTAATGTATTCCAAACATGTACTTATGGGAGGAGATTAGAAGATTAAAGTGGTCCTTTCAATGGCAATTATTGCCCTTCCCCGAACATTGCTTTTTCATTATATAATGCATGCACAGCTTATGAATGACTTTTAGTGACTTAAGTTCTATATGCGACAGATCAAGGTATTAGGAAACACATATGTTTATATTGTTAGTTATGAATTGTGCTTCCTGCACATCCCAACTACGACTTCTAATCATCTGTTGTATGGTTGACTATTTTGTTCAGCTACCTCTTCTCCAGTCTTTTTATGTTGCAAAACCAAACTTGAGATCTTGGTAAGTTATGTATATACTGAACATTGATAACCAAAATATGGATAGGGCATATTGCTCTGTATAAAACTGGCGCTCTTGTCAATGCCAGGAAGACCTATTTTTCCTATCAATACAGGCAGGAATTATTTACAAAAGGGTACAATATAATTTTCTTTCTATTCTTATGTTGGTATTTCTCACCTGCTGTGTACATTTTGGCTATTTACTAAAGTAATCCAGCATCAGTATCTGTATACCTTGTGAATTGGTAGGTAGATTGTTTCTGTCCCATTGTGCTGGGATATCCCCATTATGGCCTAAAGATTGTTTATTCTCCTGTTTTACAGCAGCCATTTCCTGTTCTGCCATCATGCCTTCTCACATCATGGCAGCTCTTTTGATGCACAAATACAGGAAAGTAAGTACAAAGGAATGCTGGGGGTGGTCTGTCTAGCATTGAGCCACAGTATATTATTTTATCAATATAAATTTTTTCTATGTAACAAAGCAGACAAAAGGAAATAAAATTAATTATATAGCAATTATGTTGATCTAGAAACGGAATAGTCTCAAAATTGGTTACATAACAATTCTCATACATGATTTGCCAGAATTGTTAGCTATCTCTTCTAAGGTATTCTTATCATCTTTGTTTCCTGTGACATTCTATTCTTTCTTCTTTGACATTCCCACCTTTGTCTTCTCCTATGCCCCTTTGTTTTTCTCTATGACACCCCCACCTTTTGTCCTATCTGTCATGTCCTGTAATAAGTACTTTCTGACACCATAATATCATCTTTTTTTTGCCCACATCTTACATGCAAATCCAAACTTTAATACCTTGAATTATGGCTCCCACTTCTTCTCATTATCATTTCTTAAACAATACACTTCAATCGGACAGATTGAGTCACTGTGATATACTATTTCTTCACTTTTTTTCAGGGGGTCTCAATATCCAGGCTGCTCTCTGACTTTACTTTGCTGACAGAGGACATTCTTCTTCATGGGTTTGATGTGGAGTTCTCAGGTCAGCGCTGGGACCTAGTCTGTCACAGCCTGCAAATTCTGCGGAGGAGTGTGTCATTGTATTCTGCCCTTCCTGGTGACACCTATGTGCTAAGCAGAAACTCTCAAGAGGCTATTCTGAATTTGAGTCACCATAGTGCTTCTTTGCTGTCTGTCTTGCTTCATGAATCCATGGGAGGTGAGATCAAGAGTAGAAATCCAAAGTCCACCTGCTAATGCACCCCTGGTGTGACAACCATTTACCTGTAAATAGACCAAATCCACGATAAGAAATGATTGCCACATGTTAGCCTTTCACTTCAGCATCAGAACTTTAAGAGTACTTGGAAACTGGAGGTAGCTTAATGTATCCTTCCTGGTTAAATAATTTCAGATTATTTCTGATAACTTGTCCAGTCGATCTTTCTTCTAGAGCAGAGTGAACACTATAAAAACGGGAAGAAAGAGTTTGCAGAGCTCGGTTCTTTAGTATCATTAAGTCTTTGCAGAGGTCCAGATGTTGGAACGCTGCTGCTTTGCATTTCCTGATGAGAAGAATGGGCGACACATAGCTTTCACCATCAGCTATTACATTACATTCATTTCGCCTTTGGACTTATGTTTTTTATTATTAATTGACACCTATTTTCTAGTGATCTTGTTGCTCTTCCCTGATTTAATATCTGTGAGATACCCTGTCTCACACACTTTGTATGATGTTATGTAACCATTCTCTCTCACATATGGTTTTATACCATTGTTGTAAGTTTTATTTCTGGACAATTTCATACTCATCTTGTTACCATCCCTTTGTAATATTTTCTTCAATATTTCTCTGCACACATCCTCTTATTGACCGCTTATTTTTTCTCTTCCAATACAGCCTGTGCATTGCACGCTCTTCTGTCCCAGCTGCCTGTTCTGGGTATGTCTGAGATGTTCCTTGCCCATGATGAGCTCTTAGACAAGCTGCTGTGTCTGTGCACCCTGCTTCCCAGGACATTCTTGCTTCAGCCGGTACAAACATTACTCCTCACATCTGTTTACTATTGGTTTATCCCATCCAGGGCTCATGGGCACAAATCTGACAAGTGCTAGAGATTCTCCATTCATATCTCTATCTAACATCCAATAAGTAGTTCACAATTATGTTCAGTTCAACTTTTCAAAATGCCAATCAAGCCTAGAATTCATACACTTCAATTCGAGTTGGGATTGTGGGAGTCGTAAACCTTTTTCTCCTGTTCATTGTTCTATGTTCCTCTTGTGTTACAGCCTTGTCAGTCTCCATATATCATATGTCAGGAAATCCTAGACAAGCTGATTCAGTGTGGGCTTATTGCTACACATGAGGTGAGTAACATACATTTATGGCTGATGAGAAGTTAATCCTTTCTCTACACTATTTAATAAAATCAGCATTTTGAGATATCTGCCATTAAAGGGACACTAAAGTCACCAAAACAACCTTAGCATCATGAAGCAGTTTTCGTGTATAGAACATGCCCCTGCAATCTCACTACGCAAGTCTCTGACATTCAGGAGTTTAAATAACTTTGTTTATTCAGCCCTAGTCATACCTCCTTGCATGTGACTTACACAGCCTATGTAAACACTCCCTATAAATATTCATCTAATGCTTGCACTACCTTTATTACAAATTCTGTTTAATTTAGAATTTCTTATCTCGTGCTCTGTTAATGGCTTGCTAGGCCCTGCAGGAGCCTCCAATATGTAATTAAAGTTCAATTTACAGAGCAGGAAATAAAAAAAATGTAAAGCAAGTTAACGTGATTGAAAATGAAATCATTTTTTTGTTTCATGCAGGCTGTCAGTCACTGCCAGGGGAGGTGTGGCTAGGGCTGCATAAACAGAAACATAAGTGATTTAACTCCTAAATAGCAGAAAATTGAGCAGTGAGATTTCAGAGGCATGATCTATACCATAAGAGAGCGCACAAACAATATAAAATATTCCAAGCAATAAAAAAGCAGCTAAATACAATAGTCCCAAGTTCCAAAAGACAGATAGCAAAATAAATAGTATCAGTGCTTAGGCAATCTTCCCCTTAGAAAGATTATAGGAAAAAAGCATAACTAGTCAAATTACTAAATAGTGAGAGTCCCAAAGTTAGTAAAAAAAAAAAAAAAAGATATATCCCAAAAATTGCAGGGGGTATGGTGTAGAATGACAACCAGTTGTAGTTCTCATCTCCAGTTGAAGGGAAACTAAATAGCCACCTTTGAGACAGGGAAGAAACAAAATATAGCAAAATACACTTTATTAAATAACTCCCCCCTATGGAATCCCTTGGTGGAACTTTTACACAAAATAGTGGTGGTACTTATTGCTAAGGACCGCAAATAGGCATATAGTGCAGTGCAGCCTGAGAGTTTTATCAGAGTTACCACTCCGCTGGTTGGATGCTCAGAGCTGCTTCCGTGCACGGGAGCCGACCTGTAATCTCTTAGTACTTGCTTCCCAGCCTCCAAATTTGAAACTGCCGCCAAAAGCAACAATCTGCCTGTGAGACCGGGCTTTCTCAAGATAGGTTGCCGCGGCGGTGCTCCTGCTAATATATACCCTTTGCCTGGATGAGATCAGGATTCTTCAAGGCATGTTGCTTGTAACAACTTAGACATGTTAGAAGTTCTTTAGTTCAATGTCCGCAATAATATGCTTCCACAAAAGAGTGTAAAATCAACATATAAATAATACAAGTTTAAAAATGTGGAATTAACATATAAATACAAGCATAAAAGTATAAAATCAACATATAAATACAAACATAATCCAAAGTGCACAAGGGTATAGAATACATTTGATACTGTGATTGTAATAAATTGTTGTTTTTAAAACCAACATGTTTATCCTATGATTTGATATTGTGTCCACTTATGGTAACAACAGTAACATAAATAGTTAACATAATTTCATATGGTGTAAATTCATGAGATCAGTGCAATCAATTAAATAAGACATAAATAGAATCATGTTAAAAAATTCGATTTAGAACGACTAGACCTAAAAAAAACCTGCTACTTAAATACAATGAGTTCAGTAAAATAGTAAAAGATAAAAGTGTTTTGCAACAATAAATAGTGAGTGAGAAATACACTCACTTAGGTATCATTATGGTTAGACTAGACTCTAAAGTCTAATTAGGCTAGACTTTAAAGAAATACAGGAGATGAAAAATGTCAAAGTTATATCCCAATAAAAAAGAATGGAGACCAACAACAACAGTAATGCAAGGTTGCACCAAAATAAATCACTGTGGACTACAAACAGTAAAAAGCATATAAATGAGACATATACAAAAGTGCAAACAAGATATCTCATTTATATGCTTTTTACTGTTTGTAGTCCACAGTGATTTATTTTGGCGCAGCCTTGCATTACTGCTGTTGTTGTTCTCCATTCTTATTATAGAGGGTTACCCTCTGCTAGTCGCCACCTGGATTTAACTAAGCAAATAGGTAAAGAGTCATCTATTGGATAGTTACACCCATCATGCCTAGTGCCTACTGTACAAGCCTGTGGGGGCAGTGCTATGATCTAGGGTTGCTGCAGTTGGCCAGATCTAGGTTCAGCAACATTATGTGCCCAAAGAATGAGGCAAGCTGACTACCTGAATATACTGAATGACCAGGTAATTCCATTAATGGATTTTTTTCTTCCCTGATGGCACGGGCATGTTCCAAGATGACAATGCCAGGATTCATCGGGCTCAAATTGTGAAAGAGTGGTTCAGGATGCATGAGACAATTTTTACACATGGATTGGCCACCACAGAGTCCAGACCTGAACCCCATTGAGAATCTTTGGGATGTGCTGGAGAAGGCTTTGCGCAGCGGTCCGACTCTCCCATCTTCAATACAAGATCTTGGTGAAAAATGAATGCAACACTGGACGGAAATAAATCTTGTGACATTGCAGAAGCTTATCGAAACAATGCCACAGCAAATGTGTGCCGTAATCAAAGCTAAAGGTGGTCCAACTAAATATTAGTGTGTGACCTTTTTTTTTTTTTGGCCAGGCAGTGTGTGTGTATATGTATATGTATATATATCTATATCTATAGATATAGATATATAATTTTCATTCATATCCCTCCTCCCTTCTTACCTTTGCTTGGGAGGGGGGACAGTACTAAACCCTGGTGGTCCCAGTGGTGAGAGTGAACTCTAGCAGCTCCTCGTGGTAACCATGGCAACGCTCCGAGCTCGCGAGAGGAGAACTCGTTGGGGAGGCTGCAGGTTAGAGCTCCCTGGGTCCTCTCTCCCTCCCCTGCCGGCTGCCAGCATTAAAGTGCTAGCGGGCTAGTGAGGGAGATCTCTGATCTCCCCTCCTGTCCTACAGAGCCGACAGGGGAGAGAGAGGCACAGTTCCCAGTGCTATGATCACCTGGGGTGCCGCGGCACATAGTTTGGGAACCACTGATATATACATTAAAACTGCTCAAGACGTGGCTGTGTTTTAATATTGGTAAATTTAATGTATATCCAACTCTCCTCTGAAAATGTTAGTGTGTAGACATTTTGATTTAAAAAATTCCCCCCCTCTTTAGGATCCCAGCGCCTCGCCTGTCTGTGACACTGGAAGGAATCGTTTCTTAGATCAGATATTGTGGAAATCTGTCGACGATTTTGCTGACAGTGACAGCGATTATATGGAGGAAGATGTGAAACGTTACTACAAGGTGACGTATTTGGGTGTATCCCCAAAAAATTCAGGAATTGCTGATTTAGAATTAATTGAAAAAATTATTATCTACAGCCAAAGCTTGGTTATTGTATCCTAAATTGTGCAGTCCAGTTTTCAATACACTGCATTTTGTTTTTTAGTAAATGACCCAATTTTGTACACTGCATTTTTGAAGCTGGAATAAATAAATATTTAAATATATTGGCTGGTTAGAGCAGTGGTAACATGTCGTGTGACATGCCTAGGCAAAACACCTAATGCTAAATATCTCAAATCCTCATAGATTGTAAATTCATTTGAGAAGGGACTTCTTCAACGCTTCCAGTTTCTATAATTATAAAGCTCTGCTGAATATGTTGGCGCTATATAGCAACTTATAATAATTTCAGACTTTATCCGCAAGCCGTAATATCTTTTTTTTTGGAACTATTTATGTTGGGGTTTTTTTCTGTATGATTCCAAACACAGTTGGGGTAATAGAGAACTGGAATTTGATTTAGTTAAAGGAACACTCCATAGACGACTAACTTAAATCACTATTTAGTAGAACTACGCCAGTGAAAACATGCATTCATTTATTTATGTATGTTGTCATGGGGGGGAGCTTTCAAAAGCTGCATATCTTCTGTCTGCAGTCCTTGCAAGCCATCCTCTCTTTTCCCAGCTCAGACCGAAAGAAGCCTTTAGATTCCATCCCGCTAGCGTTCAGTGAGAGAGGCTGCCAGAGAGGATGCTGGAACAGGGGTCAGTATAAGCAGCCAGGGAGAATCAGGTAAAATGGAGCTTTGTGGAGGTGTGCACACAAGTGCGTGCACTCATAGGCTCACAGTGACTCCTACTAGTTCTATTAGCTCAGTGAAGCGAATGAAAGAGTAAGAGAACCTCCATGGCTTGATTGAAAGCTGAGGTGGTGTTTCTTAATTGATTAATACAAGTGTCTATTTCTCATGCAAATAGACCCTTTTATAAAGTGCAATTAACATGGCATACTCCTTAAACATCAAACACTCCGGCAAACTGAAGTGCTTTATGTGTGTGGACTGGTTCTTTAAAGGGACAGTGTATGAAATATAACAATTAGTGCTAGCATGATATCCCTTTTGTTCTGTGACAAACCATTGTTGAGAGGTTTGACAAAATGAGGGTCCATGAAGGCACACATGGCCTGACCCCTCACTTGCCATATTGCTTATCAATGATATCCAAACATGGATTAAATTCATATTGTTAATGCACAGTTGTCACCGGGGGAACAGTGGGGAACAACAGTCCAACAATGGTTTGACCCAGCGCCTTCTAGCACCAGAGTTATTACAATGATCTGCAGTGGTTTTGGTGCTTACAATGACCCTTTAAGCATGAAAAATCCCAGCAAATCACAATGTTTTTAGAAAACTATAACTCTGGATAAATAGTTTACAAGAAAAGTGCTAATTCGTAAGAATAAACACTTTACTTTAGCAGTAGTTGAGGTATGATATGAGACCTAGAGGGTATGAAGAAAATATATAAGGATAAATGAATAAATATTGTCATTTCCTAAAACTAATCATTATGCAGTTCTAACATATTGGTACACTTGGTCGCAGTTTGAGATCAGGGGTCAAAAAACACAGTGCAGAGCAAGAAAAATAAATAAAATTGGCCAACTGTATTAGATGTTATCAGGTTATTGTGAAATAAGAAAACTCTTGTACTGAAAGGTGATGGGATTACTGCAAACATGGGTATAACATCTCAATGGTTGTATAATTGAGTTATCTCTATAACTAGGAATAGTGTCAAGAAACAAATCTCAGGCACTCACTTTGATACGTTAAGCAGCTTTAATGGATACTGCAATGCTTCATCGAAACGTAACTTATTTATTAAAGTTGCTTAACGTATCACAGTGAGTGCCTGAGATTTTTTTTCTTGACACATGTTCTATGGGGTATGTTGACCCATACTCAGTTAGCACCCTGTGATTTTTATGATTGAGTACAACCCTCTTTTCTCTTTTTATAACTAGGAATAGGTGAATTCCGCACCTGAAAGAACCCTCACGTGATAGATGAGCCTCTCTGAAAATTGCAGAAGTGAGGAAGTCTTGTATAACTGTGACCTCACTCCCTGTAGACTAAGCTTTCATCCATAAACTCTACACCAGGGGTGTCCATAAGGTAAAACCCCAGATGTTTTAGTTCTACAGCTCCCATGATACTTTGCATACCTTAATAATGACAAAGCATCATGGAAGCTGTGGTTTTAAAACATCTGGTGATCTACCTTTTGGGCACTCCTGCTCTTTTGTTGTCACATGTGGACACTTGCAATCAACCACTACTGCCATGTGTTGTCTACATAAACTATTAATAAAGAGTATTTGGTGGGTAATAAATCTCTGTTCTTTTCTTCTAGCTGGGACGCTCCAGCCGTAATGCTGATTTATTTCTCTTTCTGTGCCGCCTTCTGAGACCAATGCTGAAAACATATGAAAGAGCTGCAATGTTTCTGGAGCAGCATGCAGATTGTGGACAAGGTATAAGAAGACTATTTGTATAATGTTTGGGCTATATTAATGGCAAGACAGGAGCCTGTAAATCTTCTACTTTTTATTGAAATTTAGCATTGAAACAGTTTAAGTATAGTAAGTGCTGGGCTCCCTGGTAGACATGGTGGCAATACTTTCTGCAGTATGTACTTAGGCTTGGATTTACATTTCTCATTCTGTTTGTAGATACAGAGGTAGGTTATGTGAGCAGACTGCATGGGTACCTTCAGCAAAAAGCAAGAGAGGATGACTCATTTGGTAAGTACTGCTTCATATGTACACATCCTTCTCCAATAAGTGTTATGGTGAGCCAGAACTGCTACGATGTGTGTAGTATAACACAATGCAAGGCTGCGGTATATATCTGTTTTTAATGTTTCCTATACAGTGCCTGCTTCCAGGGCGATGTACAAAGAACGGTAATTATGCACAATTCAGGAGTTACAAACACTACAATATATAAATAGACACATGAGTGCAGAACAAAGAGACATCCCTGTCTGTGAGCTGATAATTTAGCAGTTGTATTACTACGTTTACAGGAAATAATGGGAGTTGAGACAAAAGGCAACAAAAGAGAACTTTAGGTTAATGGTTGTAGAATTTAAAGGATATTAAATATAATTGTAGAACATCTGCGTGGGTGGAAGAGTTGGTGAAATGGGTAGAAGATAATTATGTATTATACTAAATGGAGATTAACAGTCTATAATGATGGGTATGCGGTTACAAGACTTTGGCATTTGGAAGATGCACCTGTAGAACAGGCTGCAGAGAAATGGAGTCTCAAAGCAGTAGAAACAGGTTATGTTTTTGTCCCATTGGTAGTTAAGGATGTTGGCGAAGCAGAGACGTAGAGCGTGTGTTGGGGATGTTTAGTAAGATTATTGCATTTTGCAAAAATGGTAGAAAAACCTTATTCTCCAAATTAAAGGGGAAGGTTTTCAACAGTATTTCGCATCAGAAATGGCAAATTACGCAAGTGCATTATTGTTATCGTTTTGTTTTGCCTCAAAATGGGAAATGATGTCTAGAAAACCAGAGATGTATTGTGTAGCTTCTTTTTCAACTCAAAAGCATACACGTTTTCTGTTGTTATAATCATGACAAGATAAATTTTAAGGTCAAAATAAGAGACTTAGAACAGCTTATATGCTTTTGATGATACAACCATATTTTTGCCCATTGTGCATTGAGTTAGAAACATAAACTGTCCTCTAGCTAATATTGTGGAACCTCCACTGTGGATGTTTGCAGAGTTTAAAAAACATTTTTTTACAAAGCATGGCTACCTCAAAAAGGAATAGAATGTGACTGCAACATTGCTGTCAACTTCCCAGTTTATTTTATTGGGGAATGATTTCATATATTTCCAAGACCTACACTTGATAACACTAAAAGTATGACTGATCAACAATACTGTACATTTATAAAAACATCACTACATGTACGCTTGGGACACCAATTAAATTCAACTGGATCTGAATTTTAAAAACAAAGATAAAGTTACTTGCACTCTGGCCTAAATCCCTATGTACATTTAAACAAAATGGAGGCTCATTAGTTTTATTCCAATGGCCATTTGAATATAAGCTTACCTGCCACGTCAAGGCAAGCCTCAAAAGGTGCATCTCAGCTATTGCATTTATATCATTTTCTGTGCTTTTACTTAAAGCTATTCTATCCTCTCTAGACCCACTCCTCTTGACCTTTGTTACAACTATTTCTATATAAGCATTAAGCCTCATTTCATTTTAGTTTCCCTTCTTCTTTCCTCTGTCCACACTGCCTTTCACTTCCATACTTAATTGCCTTTAGGTACTTCTCTTCCTCTTTCAGAATCTGTTCTTCTTTTCTTCATATCTGATCTAGTTTTCGTTAAAACACAAGAGAAAGTAGGGACTACTCACCCACAATACTCAGCCTTCCTCCATGTTCTTGCGTTGCTACATTTGCCTGAGAATTCACAGAATTTTGTCCTAACAAAATGTGTACCATTTGTTCGGTTGTATACAGATTGTTCGGCGGCAAGATTTAGGGAGCTATGTACTAAAAGGTTTTAAGATAAAAATGTGTCTTTCAGCCTACTTTACTAACACTAAGTGAAAATTCGTTAGTATTAGTAAATAAGAGATATGAAAACTTCCCTCCTGCCCCTACTTGCCATGCCGAGAGTAGGGACATGGCTATCAAAGAGTGAGCAGCCTGTGGCTAAGTGACAAATAGGGGAGACCTACTGCCCTTCCCAGCCCCCACCCAGGAGCGGCGGATGGGGGCCTTATGTGACAATGGGGGAGGGGGGGGGACAACTGCTGTCTTCCCCCACCCAACCTATTGGCAGTGGGTGGGGGCTAGACATACAAATAACCCCCTGCAGGTAACTATGGGTCCCCAAGCCCCTATTCACCCCCACCCAGTGAATAGGGGTTCCATAGTCTCTCCCCTATTAAAATAAAACCCTACCTAACCCTGTCACCCTAAAAATATTGAGGGGGAGTAATAAACTAAAAACATGTAAATTAAAAAAAGTCATACTTATCCTTCGATGTCTTATTTTTTCTAAAACCTTCTTTTTTCATCCCCAAAAAAGGTCAAATAAAAAGCCATAAATCCTGTTGTTCAAAAAAAAAAAAAAAAAATGGCGAAATAAAATATATCCCAATGCTAATATAGAAATCCATCTTCACTCAGCGAGGGCTCTGCGCAGACTGAGTTCCGCAGGGTGAAGAAAGGCTTATAAAGCCCTCCCACGCCCTGCTATTTGACTCAGAGCGCTCTGATTGGTTGGCTTAAGACAACCACTCAGAGCGCTCTGATTGGTTGGCTTAAGACAACCAATCAGAGTGCTCTGACAGGTAAATCTTGAGCCCTTAGGCTCAAGATTTACCAATCATGATAGTACCACTTTAAGTCTCTTTAGCTCTACCATTACATAAATATTCTTCTTATTTAGACTCTGCAGGTTGTCTCTGGCCTTACTTAATGTGGCTTTTTTTGAGAGAGAAAGGATGGGCCAGGCCATGGTAAGGGTAAAGCACAAATGAAAACTTCTTGTTAGCCTTGCACCAAGTCACTTTCTTGTGTTTTAAGTAAGACTAAGGACAACTCCTGACATCATGTTTATATTTACTAGTTCTGTAGATCAGTGTTTCTGAATCGGAAATACCCAGTCAAGCTATCTTGCTGTTGGTTTGTGTGGACTACAAATTATGCTTTTTATAAAAATATAAGCAATGCTACTGAAAAATATGCGTTATCTGAAATATATATATCACACATTATATCTCATCCTGCCCCCAGAAGGAATGGTGCTGCTTTTTATTCTAGGTATTGTATAATTCGTTTGATATTGTGGGCATTGTTTTGTATATATGTTAGATATGAAATGTTAATTATGTAAAAATAACCACATAATATACTATTATTATTTTAAATTACCAAATAGATCTGTAATACTCAGCTTCCACCTTCCAGGATGTTTTTCCAGCCTTAAGACTGGCAAGGCAGATATTGTTGCATACTAGATAGAAATCTACATTTTTCCACATCAACTTTACACTATATTGTGTGTAAACACCATTGTAAATCTGAGTTCTCTGCTTTACTGCTGTAACCCCCCTGAGATAAGCCTTTCACTTCCTAACGTTTCATTTCTCCTACATTTGCACAAGTCTTTCCATGTGGAACACTCTGCTTCCTGCATTTCAAGTAGATCTTTACTCTTGTATCCTGCTTGTTTGATTTCCTCAATATTCTAATGTGCAGGTTTAGCAAAAGCAGATTTTATTTTGCTGTCCTATAACATGCTAAGGGAATCACCATTATAATATCCTCACACATGTAGCTGGCAGACAAGCATTTACTATATGCTTTATCATATCCTCACCTGTCATGTGTATGTAATATGATGCATGCAGTATATCTCTATGTGATGGCTGTGTGTAGTATATTTTATGCAAGTGTGACTTATATTTTTATCACAGTCATTATGCAGTATGATTAAAGAAATAAAATGAGTGCACATTTTTTTTGTTTTTGCCCTTGAAAGTACTAACCTCTGCATATACATGCTTATACATGACACTGAAACAAACAAAATACGGAAGCAAGCTGAATTTTTACCCTTATCACAGGTTTGTTGATGTTAAAATTACCTGCCTGCCTAGCACAATGCCATCTCTGTCCATGAACTGTTTTCCTTCCGTCTAACCATAATTTCCTCAGCTATAAGCCTGCTGCATCGAATCTCATTCTACCAAGACGCTATATAATTTTTTTAAATGTCCTTATTTTAGAGATAATCATCATTCACATACATAGTTATTTGCTAGTGTTACAGTGCGTTTGTCTCTTTTTAAATACAATGTTATAATGTCACATTATAGTGAAATTAGAAACAAATTGTCGGACAAAAAAACTGAAAATGGAGGAGGAGTGAGGGGGGAGCTTAGCGTGGTGAGGTTAGTGTGAACTCTTTGGTAATCACCTGAACCCTTTGGTCACCTGTGCTATGCCGTGGAAGCAAATTCTCATAAAGGGCCCCAGATTTTATAAAACGATGGTAAAATATTGTGCACCGTGGCTGTCCATCAGCTGATTTTCCTCTATTTACGCTCTGATCTCTCCCATCATATGAACTGACACACTGTACCATGATGCTGCTTCAACCAAGGTTATTTTATTGAATAGTTTCTGCAAGTTTTTTGGGAAGCCTTTTAGAAGCCTTGACAACAGGAACAATCAGGCGTCCAGATCAAAGGGTCTTTGGAACACAGACGCTAAAGGTCCTTCCCTATCAGCAGGGGGCGATTTACCTGGCAGGTGCGCCACATGTGGCTGTAAGAACCTCAATGTCCATATGATCTCCAACAATCATCGGAAGGTATTTTCCCCATTCAACACAGTTGGACAGGAGTGCCATTCCATCTTAATAAAATGTAAACATTTGTCTCTGAGCTGTAACATATAGAGACCCTTGCCCCTGCATCTCAAGCATCTCCCTCTGCCTTTAAATTTTAATCTATCCCAAATAAAGAAGAACATTAGAACGGCCATATAGTTAGTGCAGAGTAGTGGCTTCAGGGGTTTATTTAGCCACAAACACAAATCAGCCAAACACTGAAACCATCGACAGGCGAAGTGAAAAACAATTATTTTATTGTTACAATGGCATCTGTTAAGGGATGGGAGATATCAGGCAGCAAGTGAACAGTCAGTTCTTGAATTGTGTTGGAAGCAGGAGAGTGACTTTGTCAAGGGCCAAAAAGTAATAGCTAGACAACTGGGTCAGAGCGTCTCTCTTGTGTGATGTTCCCGGTATGTAATGGTTAGTACGTACCAAAAGTGGTACAAGGATGGACATCCAGTGAACCGTCGTCAAGGTCATGGGCGCCCAAGGCTCATTGACACAAATGGGGGCGAAGGCAAGCCCATATGGTCCAATCACATAGAAGATATGCAGTAGCTCAGTTGCTGAAAAACTTAATGCTATCCATGATAGAAAGGTGTCAGACTCTCCTTTTCATTCAGGCTGCTGTGTAAAGTGTTGGTGCAGTCCACAATAGTGTTGTGTGCTGAGACCATCGTCTCCACCCTGGATTCCAGCTCATTGCATAGCAAAGAGTTGGGCCATTATCGGGTCCCGCTTCTGTTGCCTCTTTTGGGAGGACTTCATGATTTGCAGCGTGCAGGTTAGTGGGATAGTGGTCAAAGTTTTGCCCTAAAGTGTTTAGAATTTGCATTTTAATGTGCGCTATGGCCTGAGCTCGGGACTAAGCCATCCATGTAGCACGACGTCTAAACTACACCCGACTCTTAACCCACTGTACCTAGAAACCTGTCAGTTTTTACTTTTGACACATTTCTTTATTGCAACACAGTAATCTTATGTGATCTTATGTGTAAACCCAATGTCTCCAGTCCTTTGTGATCAGTAACCTGTCCATTTGTTAGATTTCTTCCTCTTTTTTGTTTTTGTTTTGGACCTTTATCATCATCATTGATGAGCAGCGTTGAGTTACTTGCCCATATATTAAGCCACTAAGCATCTCTCACTTTCTATTTCCTTCTAGGTCTGTAATGCAAGGGAATTGCTTGAGGAATCACAAATGCTCTCGAGAAGTCAATTATCCACATTCCTTATGAGATTGAAACATTTGGGTGAACTTTTCAACCATCTGTTGGAAAACCATCTGTGTGTTTCAACCTGTCACATTTCGCGTAGGCCCTGCTTTCCCCCATATACCAAATATGTTGCCACTTTAAAAACAACATTTTGGAATTGGTGAGAGATGAGTGAGTGGTTTCACAATATGAATGTAGAATAAACCCAGCGCTGTGTATGTGAACTCTGATTAAAAGATAACTGACTCTAGATTTTAAAGTATTTATCTTTGATATAAAAACATCAAAAGTAAGGGAATGGTGTGCAGACGTTTCACCCTATGTTTTACTTTCTATGCAAACCGTACCAGATTATACTGCCGAGGTATATAATAGATGACAGGTAAACAAAATCTTTAACATTAGGGATTTCTGGAAGATGTAGTTAAAGGGACACTATAGGCACCCAGACCACTTCAGCTCATTGAAGTGGTCTGGGTGCACTGTCCCAGGTCCCTTAACCCTGCAAAAGTAATTATTGCAGTTTTTGATAAACTGCAATAATTACATTTGAGGGTGAACTACACCTCTAGTGGCTGTCTACCAGACAGCCACTAGAGGGACTTCCAGGTCTAACTGACACTGGACGTCCTCATGCATAATATTCAGCGCCATGTGACACTTCATAGGAAAGCATTATACTAATGTGAGCACACCCATTGCCGCGCATCATGTCTCCCCGCCAGCTGGCGTTGGTGGAAGAGGACCAGAGGCGGAGCCCAAACAGCGCAAATTACATTGGTTTTGGACTCAGTTAAGTGAAAGAGAGTTGTTTTTTTTTAACGCCTTCTGAGTGGTGGTGGTGACCTAGTGGGCACTATAGGGAGCTATTGTGCCAGGAATTTTTTTTTTTTTTTTTCCTGGCAGTATAGTTTCCCTTTAAATTACTGTTGCTGTGCTTCTTGATGACTCGTACAAAAATGCTATGGGACACTAGTTTTTGGGAGTACATAAAGAGGGCTGTATCTGTGTACAATAGAAGGAAGTGTTTTGGAATAGAGAAGGCAGGGCAAATGAGGTATGGCTAAAATGCAGATTGCAAAAATTAGAAAAATTTTAGCATTCAAAATGCAGTACATTTTTGTGTCTAAAACCAAATGTATTAGTTGTGTTGGTTGCTGTACACTATGGCATTTGAATAGTTACTAAACATATTTTCCCGTTATAGAATGCTGTACTTTATTACATTTGAAATGGTATGTAATAGCTGTGTAATTGTGAGCGGTACCCACATACAATGATAGTTTCTCTTCACTAAAGCCTTAGTTTCAGCCCACGTATTCTGTGAATGCAATTGCTAAATGTAAATATCTGACTAGGGAATTCCTAGTCTCTTCCCTCCTTACTCGTGTACTTTACATAGAACAAAAAGATCTTCCCCACACAAAATATGTAAATTAATGTGAAAATACTAAAAAAAACACTCCCACGTCATGAAGAGGGGTCTTTGTCTGCAGGATATAAGATGGTCCCAGACAAAGGTTTAACGCAAAAATGGTTATATATTGAAAAGCCACGGTATCAAACAAGCTTGAAGAAGCTTAAAGAATAAGTGGGTGGGTTTAAATAATAACTCATGAAATAACAGCTTTTTATAGTTCACTTTACTTAATAATTAATTACTCATGCTGATGGTCTTTCAGATGGAACCAAGAAAACGATAGAGGTGGAAGGAATAAACAATGGATTAAACTAAAGTTGGTTGTTTTGATTCCTATAGTATCCCTTTGAAGGGACACTCCACTGTCCAAATACAAATAAATAAATCACTGTTTAGTAGATATACCTACAATGAAAACATGCATTGATTTAATTTTTTTTTATTTTTTTATTGGGGTGTATCTAGAAACAGCTTGCAAAAGCAGCAGATCAGTCTTAGTACTTTCTCCATAGGAAAGCATTGTATAATGTTCTCATTCATAGCGTTAAAATGCCCAGTGTCAGGTGACCAAAAGGCAACCTAAAAATGAGCTGAAGTGGTCTGGGTGCCTATAGTGTCCCTTTAAGTAGGACAACAGGACAAAAGACCTTTTACTAAATCTTAAATGATAGAAAACCTCACTAAAAGCACTTGAGCATTTAATTGGTATGTCAGCAGACAGGATATAATGTACAACAATGATGGCTAGTCTTGGGCACTGCACTGGATTTTGGACTAAATTACCTATGATTTAATGACAGCCATCCATTAAGCTTTGTGAGCATCAGTGGAAATGATAGCCGCTACAGCTGCAGTGGAAACATTAGTAACACCTGCACTATTGTATTACGCTTCATTCTCACCATTATACAAAGTATTTTATCGTGAGCTTTTGTTACGCTTCATACTCTTTCAGCTACAGGGAGATGACCGAGAATCTTTAAGCTCAGCAAATAAGTGATATTGTATGGGAGACATACTGTATACTGAGAATATGTCATATTATTTTCATTTTTTGTTTTTTTTGCTAATAGAATGTGCAGAGTATTCCTTGGCTGCCTGTGCTGTTAGGACCTTTATAGATCTTGGGGTAAGTGCCACTCAACTCGATCATATTTAGTTTGTCAGGAATTGCTTAAATATGTCTCCTCACAGTGATGACAGCAGTTCTTCTCTCTACACCTACACTTCAGCTTCGGTTATCCAGCTGTTACATTACAGTTCCCATAAGTTTCTGCCAGCCAATTATAATCCTAGTCGAAGAACAGTTGGTGGACCTGTGTTTACAACTGGACACTCAGTTTTAGATACTGATGGTCATGGAAAAGAAAAATATAGTAGGCACTTCTCTGGAACTCACAAATAACAATATATATTACAAGACTTATAATACAAAGTAGAGCTCTGTGTGGGAAGGAGTATCTTATCCCCTCACAGTATGCAGTACTATAGCAATGTTAAAACAGCAGTATATAAAAGATAAACAGAGAGAACAACAAATGGCGCAGATGGTAACAATCCTTGCTAAATATAAAACAATTGGGTGTAAACATACTCACATTTAAAGGAACACTATAGGGTCAGGAACACAAACATATATTCCTAACCCTGTAGTGAAAATCCACCATTTAGGTGGCTTGCCTCCCCTTAGCCTCCTCACAATGGGTGAAAACTCACCTTATTTTCAGCTCTCCGCTGCGCTGGCCTCCCCCACCCCCCCCATCTCCCCAATGCATCTCTATGAGGAAAATTCAGCGTCCCCATGCACAGCGTATGCCAATATAAGGGAGAAAACAAAATGGGACAGGAATACTAATATAGTGTAGTATGTCTCTTAACAGGAGAGGCAGAATATAAGGAAAAAATATATTGCACTCACACTTTTCTGGAGCTCAAGATCAGCTCCAGATCACAGCGTATAGACGGTACAATCCCCTTCTGTGGATGTTAGGATGGTCCTGATTACCTCTGGTATCGTATCCCTGTGCCAATAATACACGTGGTGTATTCAGATGATGCTCCAGTGATATATATAGGATATAAAAGAACAGGAATATTGTTCTCTGTATTAATGAAACAAATAAAATAAAGAGAGAAATATACTCACAATGGATGAGCAAATAGGGATTGCTCTGTCTTTTACAGCATAGGTGGTTTGTCCCCCACCCGGGAATGTGAGATGCAGCTTCTCCAATAAAATATGTCCAATGAACGTCCAGGGGTACAATGCAGATTAATTTTATTAAACAAATAAAAAGAAAAGTAAGTAGCACACTAACACGTTTCACCTATACAGAATGCTTTTTCAAAGTGTTACAGAGTAGGGGACCTTCACTCTTAAATAGCTGAGAAATTTTTTTAAGAAAACGGTCCGATGATGTCACTGATCATGTGACCTGAACATTAATTAACTTTAAAACATAAAATAAAACCAAATAAGCAATTAAAGATAAAAGAGAGTTTAATAACAACATAGTATGTGTAAATGTATTAGGAATGGATACTTATGTGGATACTTATTATTCAAATTGGCTGACTAGCAGACTGAGCGGTTGCTTTCATGTGCAGCTTCGCAACAGAAACAGATAAAACAAAGATTAACCCTGGCAATCCCACACAGGAGAACGCCTAACCTATTGTCCCCACCAGCTGACAATATGGGCCGCAAAAATAAGAGGTTCCGAGTACCTGAGCGCCCCAAACTCCACGATATCCGACTCTCCTTTGAGAGGCCTGCTCTGAGAGAAAATTCCAATATGGCGCCCGCGGCGCAACCCACGCCGGAAGACTTGGAGGAGTCACACAAGGAAGTGGAATCCCCAGCTTCTAAAGACCATAGTGAAGCCGATCAGGAATCAGAGTCTGATGAAGACTCCACACCCTCCACAAAGGGGGATATCAACAAGCTGCTACTAGATCTTTGCAAAGTGGGGAAGGCAGACCTCCACAAGACCCAAAGAGAACTGGTCATCGTGACTCAGAAGGTTAAGGAGGTGGAGCCGAGAGAGCTAGGGATGACAGAATTAAAGCCACAGAGACCAATCTGGAGGATCTTACACAGGAGGTCCAAAGACTGCATAGAGCTGTGGTTTCGATGGAGTCTCGACACAGGTGCCGGAATGTCAGGCTGAGAGGCATTCCAGAAGAGGTCAGTGGGGAAGCATTACTGCTCTATATCCAGAGGCTGTTCACCACTATGGGAATCAGAGTGGAAGAGGGCTCACCTTTGCTGCTGTCGGCATTCAGGATTCGGAAAGAAACCACGCAGCTAGCTCCCCAAGGGACATACTAGTGGTGATAAGAGACATAGTGGTGCGCTCCACGATCATGGCCCGTTCCAGAGTTCTGGGTAGCGTCAAGTTCGAGAATAGCGAGGTGACGCTTTATGGAGATATACCCTTCGCAGTCCGCACAGAAAAATGCAAGCTGGCTCCAGTTGCCAGGCTACTGAGAGACCGATCAGTCCGGTACAGATGGGGCACGAAAGGACCCTTACTGGTTCCACAAGGGGATAAGACCCTCATGTCGGACCAAGACCCAGAGACGCTCTTAAATGGCCTGCAACTACACAGCGATTACCTGAACAGGAAACTAATTAAGGGGGACCCAAGAGAAGGTATCTCGAAGACACAAGCCAAACCCCAATTACCCAAAGGACTATCCTTCCTGTTAATAGACATACTGTGTTCATGAGAGTTTTCTTTATAATTTCTAATATCTCTATATTCTCTGCTTCATTACCTCCCCAGCCCAACGAGGCACACTAAACTGTATGATACCTTATACCTTACCTTTCCCCCAGTTATGGTGAAACGTCCTGTTGTATTGCAGTGCTCCTGATGTTACTAATATTACTTGTTTTACTATTAATCTCAGATACTGATCCAACATATACAACAACATATGTGTATACTAAACCAATAAAAATTATAAATTGAAAGGAAAAAAAATATAAGACTGATATAGAATCTTTTTTTGCACATGCCCTGTTTCCTTTAAGATGGAATTTCAGTGGATTACCATTGAGTTGCCATTCAGGCAGTAGAGCCAGCTGCCCATGAGTGGAGGCATGCAATTGGCCTCTCTATTCAGGAGCCATCATTGGCTCACAGTATCAGGGTGTGGGGTTACAGAGCCCACACAGAAAGTGCAGCAGAAGTTCTAGGCCCATGCCAAATGTAAGTGTATCATATTATCTTTTTCTCTCCCCCAATAGCCTTTAGAGACTGACCTAGCTCTTATTTAAAAGCACTTAATTCCCCAAATGCAGTTTCTGTTTGCTTTCAGATTAAATTATATTATTACTATCATAAACCTCCCTTTTACAAGAAAGACACTGAACTGGGCAAGGTTTTTTCAATGCTTTAACCATGCCTGTATCTCCAGTTGTACAAATCACATTGAGTTATTCTGTAAACATTAATTCAGGTGGTATTACACCCCTGTCTGACTGAGCCATATGTTACCCATAGTTGGAAAAGGTGCGATAGTGAAGGAACCCTTATTCACGTATGGTGGTCTTGACCCCTTATACACAAGCAGTTGAAAACTCTCAGTTGGTAGAGGAGATTATGCCCTTACAATTAAAATTTCAGGCAGAAATTTCTCATTTATATATTTTGCCAAAGAGTGTACTGCATGATGCCCATAAACTAATATCCTTCTAAACATTGGAAAACGGATTTCCCGATATGGCACATATCAAAGGTGTAATAGATAATTGTCGTCAAATGGAATATATGACTCACACAGCATTCAATTTGTTAACCAAACTGCACAATAAATGGGACCCAGTATTGGGGGAGAACAGCTAGATTGGTGTGAGGTAGGTATATTCAATTTTATTTTGTTAGCTAGATAAAGTGAGTTCACCAACGACTCTCAGAACATACTTGTTGTTGTACATTGCTTTACAGATACATTTTGACTTCCACTATGTATCGAGTTCAGTGATGGCATATTGTATCTTCTGTATAGCTTATCTGATGACCATTGTCTACACTATGCAACATCTGTGTTTTTCAATTTTCAAAATGGTGGAATGTACCTTTCTGATTTTTGCAGTAATGATTATGCTTCGTTGCAAAAATTTAAATTATAATCCAAAATAGCAAACAGCCTAATATATGTGGCATAATTGCACGTTTCAAGGGAAACAACTTATAAAGCCATATGTTTAGCTTGGAACTTTACTTTTTCTGTTACAATACTATAAAGAAAACAGCAGATGTCTGCAGTGATTTTGTAGTTTGCAATTTTAAATAGTTGTGTTTTGATTTTGTTTTTTACACACACTCTTGTGTGTCTCTTGCCTTACCAGGTCTTTGTCACAAGCAGTCCTGAAGGAACCCTTCACATCTCTGAGACATTCCTGCTTAAAGAGAACTGCAAAAAACTGAATTCCTTTATCCAACAATTTGTTTACAAATTATGAAGAGTTGAAGATCGCAAAGAAGATTACACCATGACACCATATATGAGTGTTGCTTTCACAGGTCAACCACATTATGAGGAGAGTGGATGAGCTATTATTTAAGTTAAATTCACATGGCATGGTTATATTTGCATGTTGTTAAAGCTTGCCAATATTTAGATCACTATCTTTGAGACACATTTATTCAAAACTGCTGACGTTGAAAAAAGCAAGATGCAAACACAAGACTTAAAATTATCATTTTTGTTGTTTACAGTTCAGTTAGTGTGAGATTTATTTTTGTGCGTGCACTTCATTTGTAGATTTTAGTAGAATTTGAATTTCTCATCATGAATATCATTTCTTTCACTAATAAATGTCATCGTTAGACAGAAATGATGTGAGACGGTCTGCTGTGCCCTGCAAATCCTCACAGCACCTGGTTACTGATAACTCCCAGCTCATCTATTTCACAGTCCACCACATCTCCAGCCTGTAAATAGAAAACACACAAGCAAAGCATGAGATTACAAAAACAATTTATAAACCATCATTCAAGAACCAAACAAACTAGAAAAAATATTGGAAGGATGAAGTGCTAGAAATTTTTCTTCTAGGTGTCAATAATAATATTTTGACATTTTCTAAAAACACCTAGATACAAGAGCTGAAGATAGCCCTGCTCAAAAATACTTATAGTCTAGATGACGTGGTCTAGTTTTATTTTGGAAACCTGATATGTCGCCTCCAGGGGGACTAGCGGTAACACACCTATGTACCATTAGAGTGCAACAGTAATATGGATGGGACAGGACGAGTGAGCTAATGAAACCTTGTTTTATAAGAAACTACTGCATTTTAGAGCTGTTCCACAGATTAATGCAATAGACTGAATGACTACATGTAAGAGACCAAAATCATATATAACTAAGACACTGGATGTGGGTTTCAGTTTGAATGTCAAGCTGAGATGAGGACACTACTATTGTCTTTGGAACACTAGCAGATGTACCTAGAAGTAATTTTGAAACAGGTCATGTTGCATTGATGTGTAGTAGCTACTGGGCCTGGAAAATATAAAGGTACTCTCTAGTCACCAGAACAACTACAGCTTAATGTAGTTGTTCTGGTGAGTATAGTCAACCCTGCAGGTTTTTTGCAGTAAACACTCTTTTGAGATGGCTAGTATAGGTGACATTTAGTGTCTGCGTGGAGATACTAAGCTTTCCACATTGAGATGCATTAATTCAATGCATCTCTATGAGGAGATGCTGAATCGCGATGGCGGCATTTAACTCCGCACCCAGCCTGCTTTCTTGCCTGAGATGATCCGAATTGACAATCTCAGCCAATCCAATGCTTTTCGATGTGATGTCACCCAAGGATTCAGATCAGGGGCAGTACCAGCAGACTAGAATAAAGGTAATATTCTAGAAGGCAGGGGTGGGGGGGAGCTAGATAGTGTTGTTAATACTATAGGGTCAGGAATACATGTTTGTATTTAATGCTTAAATCCTCAATATGTTGCTTTGACATTTTATTATGCAAATATAAACAGTGCATGCTACATTGGGACTTTGTAAAAGTAGTCTGGTTTCAGGCATCCTCTTCAACAAAGGACTAATGAACATTTAAAAGACCACTATGCCAGCTGGATTGAAGTAGCTCCAATAAAGTGTAAAATACAGAGTGCTCCTCTCAGATTAAAGTATCTCATGAATCCAGATCCTAGCTAGAATGTGAGGAAGCACAGCCAACCAGTGTTTACTTGTAAACTTTTGACTGAACAAAAATATAGTGTACTTGCACATTAAAGGCTTTGAAAGGCCATTCTCATTCTCCTTCATATTGGTATGTGTAAGTCAATTTTTCCCACATTATTGGTAAAAAGCTTAGATGTCCCTTTTCACATACTCAGTACGCATTGGATCTTCCCTGTAACTTATAGAGGCCGATGTTCACCCATCACTCACCCACACTACATCCATGTGACACCTAGTACCTTTAAAATAAACCTGCCCTCGTATACATTAAATACATTGTATATAGTGATACATTATATGGAGTAGTAAATGAGGTTATAGTAATACATTATATGGAGCAGTAAGTATGTTATGGTAATACAATATACGGAGCTGTAAGCAGGGCCAGCGCTCCCTATAGTAGGCGGCCGCCTAAGGCGCTGATCAAGAGTGGGCGCCGGCAGCAGCTCTAATGCTAGTCTTGGACCCTCTACGAGGAACTAATTCTGTATTGCATGCCACCGGGTGCTAGAGAGCACTTACATAGATGTGTGTGTCAGCCAACACAAGTCATTTGATGTCTGAGTCAGTGTGTGTGTTTGTCACTCTGCATGAGTCAGTAAAGGTGTGTGTGCATTGGTCACTAATTGTGATTGTGTGGACCATTGAGTGTGAGTGTGTGCATGCATGTATGTATCTATCAGTGATTGCATTTGGGCAGAAAGAACCATTTTCCTTAAAAATAAAATAAAAAAAATCAATACTTTTAAAAGAAAACTATAGTGTTAGGAATATAAACCTGTATTCCAAATACTATAGTGTATCTGTCCCTACTTAGATTCACCCCCCCACCGTAAAATTATTAAAAAAATTAAGAGGGGGGTGGGGGGAATAACTTTTATTTGCATTTTTTAAGCACCAAGACTCCCTCTGACTGCTTGCCTCCTTACCTCACTTTTAATGTCACTGATGGGACAACACTGGTCCAATCCAATGTTCCTCATACAGGAGCATTGGGGACCTGATGTGCATAAGTGGCAACCTCTATGCACTTCCAACAGCGGAGTTGCCTCTAGTGGCTGTCCGTGTGACATCTACTAGAGGCATGTTTAACCCTTCAAGGTAAGGGAATGTTTTATCTTGTCGGGTTATACCTACAGGACCACTGTGGAGTGAATTGGGTGGCAAAAATCCTTGCACCGGCCCTGCGTATATCACAAAAATACATCATGTATTAATGAAAAATATCAAGATATACTACTCACCTTTCAAGTACCGCCACCTTCAGGGTGTTGCTTTGTCTAACCTTCATTGCCAGCATGCCAGCGTCTGAACGACGTGACATCAGAATTTTTGTTCTTATACTCCAGTGCAGCATCGTTGGATAGAGAGTTTCCATAGCAACCACAGCGCATGCACTGTGGTTGCCATGCTTGGCGGAGCAGAAGGACTGGCTGTGGGAGTTCTTTCCTGATCTTCCTTGCCAGTCAAATAGTTAACATAAATACCTGATCTAGCAGACACAGAGTGTGAATCTCTGTATAACATTTACCACCAGACACTTGCACTAGCTTTATGGAAGAAACCAGCTGCTATGTGGAGGCAAAGAAGGAGTTATCCAGCAGTCTGCCCTACAATTTAAGCACTGTGCTGCGTGCCTTTAGCTGCTATAATATGGAGAACCGCTAGCAATATGTAGTACAAATACAGCATCACATACCAGTACTAAGTATTTGTTTTCAGCACATCCAGTTTCAAGGTGTCATGACAACCTACAGTTGAAGGGACCCCGTAGGCACTTATCTGCTTCATCTCATTAAACTGGTTATAGTGTATGGAGTCCCCTGGTGCCATCATTTCTTTCGACATTAAACAGTTTTTAATGTTGTAATGTTTTAATGTTAAACAAGAGACCACGGCAGTCCATCCCCTCTGTGCTGCTTTGGCTAATAAGGAAGCATTACCCTGAGCAGCAATGGGCAGCTGTGATTGGCTGAGAGTGTCAGCTGACTGCTTTTAACCTGTCAGAGCTCCAACTGACGGTATGAATGGGTATGACAACAAGGAAGTGTGTAATCTCTGCCTTAGCTACACATACAGGAGGGGCCGGACTGTGGGTGGCCAGGGACTCTTATTTTGTGGCATACTGCACAAACATGTGGCAACACTGAATGGAGGGACAGTGCCAGGCCACTCCAGGCACTATAACCAATTCAAAGAGACAATGTGGTTATAGTGACTACAGTGTCCCTTTAAGGTTTGATACTGTCAAGTTTGAAAACAATCAAGAAAGGGAATCCTCTGCTCTTTAAAATTAGCATGGCTTAGACAAGGAAAGTACAGTGGACGCATCATTCTGTTATATTCACTGAGGGGCAAAGTTCAACCAAATCAGGGATTTTTAAAACATACAAATGACATGGCAGAATATCCTGTGAGCTAAATAAAGACCCCAAGGAAATTTATACACACACAAACAAACATATATATGTATATATATTCATTTACCTGCCAAGAATGGGGTACATTGACGTTGTGGCAGGCTTATGCAATGTGTGATCATATAATGCAACTAAACCCCCATTATTTCTTGCCTAGGTGAGGTGTTTTTAAATAAAACTATTACAATCTCTAAGATTTGAATTCATTGTTTAGTGAATAAGCGAGTGCGCTGGATTCTGTATTTGGTATATTTTGGCCCCACCAGCGCCATATAATGTATGCATGTTCAGTTGAGTGCAGCCCTCTTGGTTTCTTTTGTGTATTTATTTATAACATTGGATGTTGGGTAGTCTTTTCCTTTATATCTTCTATGTTACAATGGCGGATTGAAGGATATTCTGACCATTTCAAATATAATATCCCACTATTGTCTAAAGCTTGGCAATTACCACAGAATTGGTTGAGTGAACATAAAATCAATGGATTTTCCATTTCTTTCCCGCTGCCTCAAACAAACCATTTGTGGTTGCAACTCCACAAACCAACAAATAAAACCAATAAATATTAAGTAGTTGTGTTACTTAGATAATTTTTTTTTTTTTTAAAGATTATTTATTTTGATTCATGTAGTGTTGAAAAACCAAACCCCTTTTTCTAAACAAATTTTACGGAGCAGTCATACGGAGCTGTATTAGCTGTATTAGCTGAGAGAGAAAGAAACGGTAACAATGCGTTTTAGAGTCTCACTGCTCAATTCTCAGCCATGTAGGCGTTAAACCACTTTGTTTATGTCTCCCAAACCACTCGCTGGGACACACCTCCCTACACGTTACCTGAAAAAGTTTCCTTTATGGTATAATGTGTTTAATATAAAATGTCTCACCTCCTATTCTAGCGACACCAGCTTTTATTATAGCTCATTGAGAAGCATATGAAAGCTGGGATGGCATACGTGTGAGCTTCTCAATGAGAAGCTTCTAACTGGAGGATTCCTTGATGTAGCCTGAGAGTCTGTGCCTAAGAAACCTGTGGAGGACTTGCAAAGGCTGCAGGTCTGCAGCTTTTATAAGAGGTTTTTTTTTTCCTTCAAACCACTTTACCACTTTGGGGGTATATCTACTAAATTATCACAACAATAAATACATTTTCAGTGGTGTGTTCCTTCTAAGGTTTGGAATATCCTGATGATACCCTTCACATGTAAATCATTTTATTTGTGGTTCTAATTGCTAAACTGGAGCTTTTCTGTGGCAGATTTAGGCTTCCAGGCATGAATTCCAGCTATTTCTAATAGAATAAAGTACAAACGTCTACTTTCAAGCCAGCATTAAGAGAGAACATGTACCCAGATTGGAAAATGTAAGATATTTTAATGAAAAGCAAAAATATATACAGTGTTTTCCCAAAAATAAGGTTTTCCCCTGGAATAACACACTAGGGCTTATTTTCAGGGGGGGGAGGGAATGATAGCAAACATACGCTAGAAAGCAGGTCTACGTTTGGTGGAATTCCTCCGAACATAGACCTGTTCAACAGAGCATGGAATCCCCGAACATAGATAAGGTTAATTGCGATTTAAAGCCCGCAAATCAAAATTCCCCGAACATAGATTAGCACACTAGCAACTAGGGCTTATTTTCGGGGTAAGGCTTATATTACAAGCATCGGAGAAACACGATAGTAGACATAAATCAGTGAACATGCAATAACTAACTTGGTTATTCACTAAACTCTATCAGGAATTCAAAGTTTCATTATTTAGGCCAACAGAATTGGGGGGGAGGGGGGGTGGAAGCTACATTTTTAATTCAAGTACTCTGACCTAAAATTTGTAATTCACTTTTGATTTCTAGGCAATTCACACTCTAGTGAATAACCCTGTGAAGTCAGTAATAGTAGCATACTCAATAGCTAAACTGATTTGTTATATTCACTATTAATGCTCAGAGGTGACTAACCAGCACTCTCACAGGCGACACCCCATTAGACTGACCAACTTTACAGACACACACAGATGCATTAATACAATATTATCTGGCTCGTAGGATACTATATCATGGGAACTTACTTTAAGGAAAACAGGTGGCTTTCTGAATACACCAACACCAGGAGGAGTCCCTGTGAGGAAAAGGTCCCCAGGCTTCAATGTGACAAACCTGAGGAGCACAGGATGAAAATATATTTGAAAAAATGTGCAGGTGAAATAATGTAATAAATGCTTACTGGTTCCAATTCACTATTTAGTTAGATAGTGCTTGTGTAAAGAGGCCAACTTTAGCCCTTCATGTGCTGCAAGAACAGGGTGGACCACTAATAGTCATCACAGACTGCAAAGTACAGGCAGGCAACTAATAGACATCACAGACTGCAAAAGTACAGGCAGGTCACTAATAGTCCATCACAGACTGCAAAGTACAGGAAGACTACTAATAGCCATCACAGACTGCAAAGTACAGGAAGACTACTAATAGCCATCACAGACTGCAAAGTACAGGCAGGCCACTAATAGTCCATCACAGACTGCAAAGTACAGGAAGACTACTAATAGCCATCACAGACTGCAAAGTACAGGCAGGCCACTAATAGTCCATCACAGACTGCAAAGTACAGGAAGACTACTAATAGCCATCACAGACTACAAAGTACAGGCAGGCCACTAATAGCCATCACAGACTGCAAAGTACAGGCAGGCCGCTAATGGCCATCACAGACTGTAAGGTGCAGGCAGGCCACTAATAGCCCATCACAGACTGCAAGGTGCAGGCAGGCCACTAATAGCCATCACAGACTGCAAAGTACAGGCAGGCAACTAATAGTCCATCACAGACTGCAATGTACATGCAGACCACTAATAGCCATCACAGACTGCAAAGTACAGGCAGGCCACTAATGGCCATCACAGACTGTAAGGTGCCGGCAGGCCACTAATAGCCCATCACAGACTGCAAAGTACAGGCAGGCAACTAATAGTCCATCACAGACTGCAATGTACATGCAGGCCACTAATAGCCCATCACAGACTGCAAAGTACAGGCAGGCCACTAATAGCCCATCACAGACTGCAAAGTACAGGCAGGCCACTAATAGACCATCACAGACTGCAATGTACATGCAGGCCACTAATAGCCCATCACAGACTACAAAGTACAGGCAGGCCACTAATAGCGATCATAGACTGCAATGTACAGGCAGGTCACTAATAGCCCATCACAGACTGCAACGTACAGGCTGGTCCCTAATAGCCATTGCAGTCTGCAACACACATGTAGGCTAATAATAGCAAGCCCATTGCAGGCTATAAAGAACAGACAGGCTGACATTAACCCATTATAGGGTGCAAGTAAAGACAGGCTGTTAACTATAAAACCCAGGAACCCAAAAGTGTATTATCAGAATTGACAGTTTCACACACAATACTAATAACATAACTCACTTTCTCCAAGACAGCACAGGCTGATCATACAGTAAATGTATAGGGAGACTTATTGCATGATCACACAGAGCAGTTTATTGACTAAACTTTGAATTGCAGTGTATTGAAAGTTGAATGAAATGGTAAAATGCCTAAGAATAATTACAGCTGACCTGGAGAATTTTTTTAAATCGGCTATTGTTTACATTTAGAATTTGCGTTTCAATTCGCTGCAATTTGGAGTTTAGTGAATGATGAATGTACTAAGAGATTCACATAGGCTGATTACATAATGAACATATGGCAAGACTCACACAGGCTGATCACACACTACATGTACTTAGAGAAACACACAAGCTGATCACACACTGACTGTATGAAAAGACTAACATTGGTTCATCACACACATATTCACAAACTGATCACACGCTGAAACAAATGTAAATGTGTAGCAAGACTCACATTTGCTGATCATACACTAAATGTACAGAAGGACTCATGCAGGCTGAACAAACACTCATTGTCCAAAGTGATCACACACCAACGTATTGGAAGACTAAGGCAGGCTGATCACACACTGAATGTAAAGAAAGACTAACACAGGCTGATCACACACTGAATGTAAAGAAAGACTAACACAGGCTGATCACAATAAATATATTAAGACTCATACATACTGTTTAAATGCTGAACCAAATATAGCACAAGTTGTCCAAACAGTAAAAACCTGTAAAACCCTTGCAAAGAGCAGATACTCACATACCACAGGCACTGACAGCAAGAGATAAACAATGACAAACACTAGAGATTAATCACTTGTTGTTAATTGTTGTTACTCAGAACCTGGAACAGATTAATCACACACTGATATTATCAAACCATAAAGATTACTGAGACAATGTAGGCATCAAGGTTTGTCATATAAACACTGATCATTTAGAAATGCAACTTACAACCAGTTCAACTATGCAGGGTTAGTACATGACCTCTCATTGCTTGAGGAGAATGGAAACACTCAGAGTCCTATTATTAAGAACAGCTGTTGTAATACTGCGGTCACTGACTGTACCAATACATTTCCTCTCTCCTGTTGATTTATGTGTAGTCACTCTCTTGCCTTGGAGCTTGTTAGGATAATGGACTTACTTGGAGACCCAAGCAATCAGAGCTCCTGTTTTGAAGACCATCTGGTTTGTGTTACTGTCCTGCACAAGGTTTCCATTCACACGGCAGCGGATCCCAAGACAATGTGGGTCTGAGGGCCGAATGGGGAAACATGGGTCAACTCAAGTGGTTTATATCTCTGAACCATGCCTCTATTTCAGCTAACAAATATCCAGCCTAGCTAAATGCACATCTTTAAAGTGCCATGCATCACTTTGAGACAACTGTCTCATTCAAAAGCTTTAGCTGAAGAAACTCTCCTAGCTGAGAGGCATGTCCAATAATGCAATCTGACCAAGTTTATAGTAAGTTTATAAACATTTACTACATACTTTTAAAGTGTTTTTGCTTTTTTTTGGTTTGTATATATGCTTAAAAGTTTTTGATTGCTCATTTAAAAAAATAATTGTCAAGTGATGCATGTTCCTTTAATAAGATTGGTAAAAACATTGATGTGTTTATTCACTAGTAAGCTATTATAGTTTGTTTTCAGGAGTTAGCGAAAATCTACGCAATAGGTCCCTTGATGTATGGACATGTTTTGTTATCTGTAAGTGATCTCTGTTGTCTTCCTCCTGTAACCACTTGACTGCTGCCTAGTGTCTCTCTTTAAAGAAGTTTAGAAATCCGTTCCAGACACCTATAGATCAACAGACATAGGTCAGCAGAATATCAACAGCCCATCCGGCTTCTCTGCCAGGCATAGATATTTAGAAGACATGTTATATATGGATGTTCCAGGCAGAGAACGTTAAAATAGCACATGCAGCGCAGCTTTCATTGTTAACTTTAGCCACTGTGACTGTGCTGTGCATGGGTGAGTGTCTCATATTCGTTCCTGTTACACAAACGTAAATTGCTGTACCTGAAATAGAGTCCTTGGTTACTAAAGCCGGCCCAATTGGGCAGAAGGTGTCAAATGTTTTACTCAGCAACCACTGATTCCCATTTCTATTTTGCCAGTCCCGGCCAGTAACATCATGAGCGACAGTAAATCCCGCCACATAATCCATCCCATCTTCCTCCTGCACAAAGACAAATGTCAACTGCAAACGTGGATGTTAGCAGGTGTATATCATGCATGGCGATACGTGCCATGATGACCTTGTAACAAAAGTCATAAAGGAACACTATAGCCTTAGGAATACACATATACCTCTATGATATATTTTTATGAGACCATCTGATTGAAATAGCTGAGGTTTATTGGGCTATTTTGTCAGAAGCTTTTTTAACCCTGCAATATAAACATTACCGTTCTTGCAGATTAGAAATGTTTTACACTGCAGGGGTAAAATGAGTGGGGTACGACACTGACATGAAGTTGTTTGAGCGCCTATAGTGTCCCTTAAAATGTAATGTGATTCAAGAACAGATAAACAGGACATTACTTACAGCTTAGGATGATAGCTTCTCTGCGTAATTTAGACACTGAACTGGATTTTGATTTTACCTTTATGTCTTTCCCTTCCTTTCCAATTACAAAGGCGAGTTCGACCTCCCAATCCACTTCCTGAATTATAAACAGAACCAGTTGTCAGAGGCGCATCCAAAAAACAAAGCTAGAAGATGAGACTACTAGAACATTATAACACACAGGCTAAAAGTGCCATCTAGTGGTTAATCTTCTAAATTACACCACAGAGCTGCTATTTCATTTTCAGACACTGATGAGTATCTCAGCTCTTGAAATTACTGTTTACTTACATGACGTTCAGACAATCCCTGTACTTAGCAACAAAGAAATCCACTTTGCTAGAGTATCATTATCCACTGTCTGTTGAAAAGCATATATCTTAGAGAGTGAGACAGACAATGAAGGATGCTAGGAAAATCCCTGTTTCACAAGGCGTGTGCATAAAACCAAGTCGACAGAAATGCTCTAGTAAAAGTAAAATCTGTCTTGGTGAGTAGGACATTGATAGCTAACTACTGGCAATGCAGCAACTGAGGCCGACCTTTGCCCCTTATGCACAATTGCAGTACCAAAGGCAAAACAGTGCTCATAGCAATCACTCGAAAAATAACAGAGATACTACCGGACGTGGCAGTCAATTATCAAGATTTCTTTGTAAGAGGCACCTTCACAAAAGAATATACACAGCGAGCTTCAAGTGACCAGATCTGGGAAATAGCGCACATAAATTTGGGAACAGCAGACAGCTGACTAAGTTACAATGTTGGGGTGATTTAAGGAAGTGCAAAAAGAGAGGGTAAGAGGACTAATATTTTATTATAGGGAGCCCATTTATCATATTGCAAATGAAACATCACTGGAAAAAGTTCACATCGTGAAATGCTATCCCATAGTGTATTTAGGAGATAACTGCATACATTATACACACACTTCTAAATGCAATATGCTTTAATCAGCACTTACTCTGCTTTGTTCTCCTTTCCATCCCCCCTCTAAATATGACATTGTAAACACACAGTTTTTGAAATGTAAAGATCTCCATTGTCTACCGTCTGGTTGTGTACTTAAAGCTACGCACCGCTGAAATAATTTTTCACTTCAAAGAAAGAACTTAATAATACGCACAATATAAACTGTGCCTATTTTATATGATGCTTTAGAAACACTTCTAGTTAACGTTCTATCTTTCCTCTTCACCATCACCCTCTTTTATCCCTCTTTCTCCCTTTAATATTTATTCCATTCCACCAATTATTTCCAGTTTTACCTATCCACTAACTTATTGTGCATTCACAGACCATAACTGTATTTACCTTGCTTTCTTTTGGAAGAATTATTGGGTCAAATGGACCCACAATGGAGCTAGGGAACTTGCTAAATATGATTGGTTCTTTGGGAACGGGGACATTCTGCTCCAGGCAGTGATCCACATAGTTCATCCCAACACACATTATCTTCTCTGGGTTGGTAATGGGAGGCAGGAATGACACCTGAGACCGATTCAGGATATGCTGTCCAGATTCAAGCGCCCTGGAGAACAAGAGGCTCTATGTATAGTGATCAAAGTTTATTTGGGAGAAGTGATTTCTTTACAGAGATATAACAACATCTAGTTCTCTATGGACCACAATGTTCATTTTCTTAAAACAGCTGTCACCCTTCCCTGAAAATGAGTATTTCATAAAGATCTTTATGAAATACTCATATTGACTGTGTTGGAATGTCACTGAAATTCCAACCCAGTCAAGAGATATACGAGAGTCTCTGCATATTTTCTAAAGCTGACACTTCTAGACACTGGGCGAAGTTACGGCCATCTAGACGTATCAATTCCCCCATCCCCCGCCCCCCAGCTGCAGGGAATTGGTTTTATCTATGGAGGCTCCTGCGGTTTCACAAGATCCTCCATAGACCTCCGTACTGTACTCTTGCGCATGCATGAGAGTACAGCAGTGAAGTCGGCTCCTGGTGTTTCCGCTGAAACAAGATGGCGGCACCCACAAGGGACAGGTTCCAGGAAGTAGAACTCACATTTGCCTGCATGCATTTGTTTCAGCTTTCTCTAAGTTAAAAGGATAATCCAGACATGGGCGCAGTGCGCACTGTGCCTAGAGGGGCACAGCTACACCTTCCTGATGAGGCTCACAAAAGGCCAAAAAGATCGTCTGGGGTTGCTGTATCTCTCGTACAAGGGGAATTTGTTGGAATTTTGGCTATGGACTGCCCTTATGGGTGTGATCAGTCTGATATGCAAATGGTGTATGTTCCCTGTAATGGCACAAGTGAGCAAGCTACAGAGTTTCTCTAAGATTTTGGCCATTCTCAGAGTTCTCATATTCTCTCTATTTGAAATATGGTTACCATGCTTGTAAATGTGGCTAATCATTTTGTTTATTTATAATTTAATAAATTATAAATTTATACATTTACTTAGCGGACTGGACTACATGCTGATTGCAAATATAATCAGTGCATTAATAATACTAATTTAGTCATGCAGTGATCTATTGTGTTATGTTTATTAAAGTTGATATATAGACAAGATACAGCTTACCTTTGGAAAGGATAGCACCATTCAATAAATTTGGCCATGAACTGACCTGCTAATTTGCATTTTGGAGAGTTTTACAAATAAAAGTGTAACTGCAATTTTTTGTTACAAATATTATTTATTTGTTACACTTTTACTTTTTATGTAGAAAATGAATTACATGTATGCCATGTTAAAGAGGAATGGTCACCTTTTACTTAAATATTATTTATGCATTTACTAAAGTGACATGTACAGAGGAGGTGTGTAAAAAACAACAAAAACACCCCCAAACACACAATGCTTAGTACTAGGTACTATTACTGGTATGCTCCTATGATGAATTGCACATGTACTTACCATTCTCACAAAAGCCTGTTAGAGTGCATATACTATTGTCCAATTTCTCATGATGCAATACGAACATACACATGTTAACAAGCCTGCACTAAAGTCATCTTAGGATTCTAATGGTTTGTTTTCACTATTAGATTTAAAACAATATCAGACATGACAATTTCTCTTTAAATTCCATTTGGTGCATGTCTGTTGTAGAAAATAGATCATCAAGGTAACCATTTTGGCACCAGATGGCAATACCGCAAAGCTCTCCATTACGGTTACCAAAAATGTATCCAGTAGCTATAGACTATTTTTGGGGATTGGAAGTGGTTAGTTATCATGCCATTGTACCTTTTTGCTTTCTGAAAGGCAGTGTCTCCAGCCTCTAGGAACTCTTTCATGCTACACGGAAGTGAAGAATCAAAGGCATTTAAGTCAACAATGTTTCCTCCAGATCCCAGCTCTAGCCCAATCTTCCGGGCACCTGAGTTCTGAAACTGGATCAGTCTCATCTTGAGCGGTCCCTGATGAGAGATGTTCCTTCTGATGACCAAATGAGGAGTGATGTGAAGGGCTTGGATGACCCGTCGAGATGAAGCCAGCATCAGCTCTTGAAGAGTCATGACAAAACAATTAAGTGAAAAGGTTTGATATGCTCCAAATTCCAATTTCAAATATCATCTCCCTTATTTTACCTGCTCCCCATAAACTCCCAACTTGGTTTAGAGCCCCCAGATAATATCTGATGAGGACTCTTGCACACTCATCCTGATAGGATGACATGAATATAGTTTACTCACTAGTGATACCAAAATGCAATTTAAAAATGTCACAGTCAAGAAGTAATTTTTGAAGACTGGAGTAAAGTCATTCGCCCAACCAGACGAGACAGAGAGTTCTTTCTTACCAGCAATTATATATCAACATTTCTAATGCGTCAAAAACTGATGTCAACAATAGCCTGGTTCCACGTATTTGATTTTGCTGAAAAACAACACATATTACTTTATATGTACTGGACATCATTTCTCCATTCAGGGACAGATCTGAAGATTTTAATTAAATCTTGCCAGGACATTAAAACTGATTACATTTAATAGGCCACCTGGCAGCCTACGTAGGCCTATTCACCTGTGTTCGATTGGTCAATTTCATTGTTTTCCTTGCGTTTCATGAAGTGAAGCGAACAGGTGAATTCGACCAATTGAACACAGGCGAACAGTCAAATTGGAAAAATTGAAAGCAAGGTCAAACTAGTGGAAGTTAAACATAAAAAAATCACCTTTGTTTAATAAACCCAAAATATTAAACCTTGTGTAGACATATACAGGGAGAGACCATATTTTACAAGATATATATTACCACCTACAAACCTAGAAACTTAATTGCCAATTATCGCTACAAAAAAAGATAAAGGCCCAATAAAGCTTACTAAATTATTGAGCTCTACTATATACAAATTAATGCGTTGTATATAGTGTAGCTCAATAATTTAGTAAGCCTTATTGGGCCTTTATCTTTTTTTGTAGGAAATTTTGGCAATTAAAGGGACACTAAAGTTACCAAAACAACTTAAACTTAATGAAGCAGTATTGGTGTATAGATCATGCCCATGTAGTCTCACTGCTCAATTCTCTGCCATTTAGGAGTTAAAACACTTTGTTTATGCACCCTAGTCACACTTCTCTGAAACTGCTATGTTTATAGAAAAAAGGGTTAACCCTAGATGGACCAGGCACCCAGACCACCTCATTAAGCTGAAGTGGTCTGGGTGCCTATAGTGGTCCTTTAAAGTTCAATTTACAGAGCAGGAGATACAAGTTTCAAAAACAAGTTAACATCTCATTGAAAATGAAACCATCTTTTTTTAATGCAGGCTGTGTGAGTCACAGCTAGGGAGGTGAGGCTAGGGCTGCATAAACAGAAACAAAAGTGATTTAATTCCTAAATGGCAGTGAACTGAGCAGTGAGACTGCAGGGGCATAATCTATACACAAACACTTTATCATTAAGCTAAAATTGTTTTGGTGACTATAGTGTCCCTTTTAGTTTCTACTTACAGTATATACTCGAGTATAAGTCTAGTTTTTCAGCACAATTTTTGTGCTTAAAAACCCCCATTCAACTTATACTCGAGTCACTGTCTGTATTATGGCAACTTAGAGAGCCGCGGCCGTCAGAGCCGTGGCAACAATCCGCGCGGCAACCAGACCGCGAGACTTACAGTGGAGCTGACCGGAACGGAGGAGAAGGGAGCTGACAGGAGCTGCAGGAAAGGTAAGTAAATGCTTCCTGCCGGCCCCACACTTCACAGCCCATGCCACTGGACCACCAGGGATTAAGATAGCCCCCCTCCCTGATCGGTTAACAAGCAGGGAGGGGGGACAAAAAAAAAATTAAAATAATAAAAAAAAATATTAAAATTAAAATAATAAAAATGCCCTCCCCCCACCCAGTTCACACACACACTACACAAACTCTTCATTATATACACAGAGTGTGTGTATATAATGCAGTGTGTGTTTGTAAGAGTGTGTGTATATAATGCAGAATGTGTGTTTGTATGAGTGTGTGTATATAATGCAGAATGTGTGTTTGTATGAGTGTGTGTGTATATATAATGCAGAGTGTGTGTATATATAATTATAAAAATCACAGAATTTCATAGCCTCAAGTTTTACCCTCGACTTATCCACGAGGCATAGCATATTTCACAATTGTTGGTCACAAAACTGCACTCGACTTATACATGAGTATATACGGTACTCTTCATTTCTCAGGTTAGGTAAGTGTTCCCTGTCATGGTAGATATTTAGGTGATATACCACTTCATACATCCTAGCATAAAATAAAGAAATTTCCCCATAACAAATTGTATTAGGAGTTTGTAGGTGGTAGTATATATCTTTTAAAATATGGTCTCTCCCTGTATATGTCTGCACAACGTTTAATATTTAAGGTTTATTAAATAAAGGTGATTTTTTATCTTTAACCACCTACGCTTGGAGAAATTATTTACTTAGATTATATTCAGTTCAAAGTGGGTAACCTTTTTTGTGGTCCCCATTTGTAGGGACACTTTTCTCTGTTTATATAACATTGGGGTTAAGCACTTATTCGGAGAATCCATCTTGTCACGAAACTTATTTATTTTAAATTGGTGTACCCCAACCCAGTCTCAGCAATATTTAATACATATTTCCCTACTCACTCTATCTAGCAGGGGGACCATACAACAATATATTTTTTGTTTGTTTCTCTCCTGTTTTCCCATGAATAATGTTATGTTTATCATCTACTCACCTTTACAGCCTGCGTGTATTGACTTTACAGTACAAGGGCTACGGCAGGTCAGCGTACCAACACTGTCAAAATGAAGAGGCACTTAGTGCTTAGTGTATCCAATAGTGGCAAAAGAGATGAATTTGCTAACAATATATGGAGGGTAAAAAGTAAGGGGAAAGGCGTTCAAACGACAAAATAAACTGAAAGAAAGAGCCCAAACTCAACAGAGGACTATACAGGGAACAGAAAGTGTTGAGTTAGTAATGAGACAAGGACAACAAGAAGAACTAAGGGACTGGGGGAGGGGGGTGATACATGCCTTAAAACAGCACTATAGTGCCAGGAAAACAAACTCAGTTTCCTGGCACTATAGGGTTATTAGGTGTGTGTGTCCCCCACTTACCTTAATCCAGTGCCAGGCTCCCTCGGCACTGGTGACCTCTCCTCCCCCTGCCGACGTCAGCCCAAACTGGGCATGCTCGGCCAGAGCCATGCACATTCAAACCGCCCATAGGAAAGCATTACCCAATGCTTTCCTATGGCCGTCAGCGTGTCCCTGATGCGATTTTCAAATTAAGGATCGCGGAAGCAGCCTCTAGTGGCTGTCAGGGAGAAAGCCACTAGAGGCTGGATTAACCCTCAGTGTAAACATAGCAGTTTCTCGGAAACTGCTATGTTTACAGCTGCAGGGTTAAAACTAGGGGGACCTGGCACTCAGACCACTTCATTGAGCTGAAGTGGTCTGGGTGCCTATAGTGGTCCTTTAAATTCTTCAAGGACTACTACGAACATCAAAAGCTTTTTAGTTTGCAGAAGTACTTTATGTGTGTACTCTTTTGTCATTTTACTAAAAGTGCACATTTCAATAGAAACTGGCACTTTTATAATTAACCTGGTTACATCCCCCTGGATGTCAATCAAACAACTGATCCTGTTACTTGCTGGTTTGTTAAATTTCACAGGGTTAGACTCAGGAGGCAGCAATTGCTCAGAGTACCTAACTTGCAAAGACTTCTCATTGAGCTGCATTGGGAAGTCTTTGATTGGACAGCCACATAAAGTCTGGCCTAGGAAAGAAGGGGAGGGCTTGTAAGGGCCGCAGACAAGATCTGCAGCATTTGCAAATTGTTTTTAGATATACCCCAAATGGAAAAAAAATATGCATCATTAAATGCATGCATGTTTTCGTTGGGGTATAACTACCAAGTAGTATTTTTTTGTATTTGTGCAGTGGAATGTCCCGTTAAGCGATTTTTTACTCCAATCTTAATGTCAGTTTCCTGAAGGCAGACCCTTATGGAAGAGCTTTCAAGTATAGTGGTGAATGGCCAGATTGAAGATTATCAAATGGAGCTGGGTTGCATCTTAGAATAGGCATAGTCTCCATCTCAGGAAAAAAAGAAAAATGTTCTGGGTCAACGTGCAAAGGTTTCAAATTTTTAAAGGACCACTATAGGCACCCAGACCACTTCAGCTCAATGAAGTGGTCTGGGTGCCAGGTCCATCTAGGGTTAACCTTGCAGCTGTAAACATAGCAGTTTCAGAGAAACTGCTATGTTTACATTAGGGTTAATCCAGCCTCTAGTGGCTGTCTCATTGACAGCTGCTAGAGGCGCTTCCGCACTTCTCACTGTGAAAACAAGTTTGTTTTCCTGGCACTATGGTGGTCCTTTATGTTAAAACTCTGAGCACCTAACCACTACAGTGTGCTGTCTTTGTTATGCTGCATAGAGTCCCCTGGGTTGTCTTTTGGTTTACTACCAAAAAATTTTTAGAAATAGTTTACAAACCAAGACTCTTCCTGATGCTGCCGCCATCTTTGGCTTCATTGATAATTTGGAATTAAGACTTGGACATTGTCAATGTCAGTTTCTTCCAACCTGGATGGCAGTAATTGGCTGAATGTAGTGGGTGCGGTTTAGCCAATCACCATAGACCACGTTGGACAAAATTGTCATTATTAATATGGAGGATGTGTTACTATAGCATTATCAATTTGTTCAAAATGGAAGTGATCATTCTGCTCTACATCAAGCTATTCGTATATGGTTTGATATTAAAGCAGAGGGCAGCACCAGGGTTATCTACCACCTAACCACTACAAAAAGCTGTAGTCCATAAAGTGCCATTTTAATGTTTAAATAATGTTGCAAATTAGGTTTATATACTTTGTAGGTTTGCACCTACTTTAAAACAGCATTGTTCTTTTGCAGGAAAGAGATGGAGGGGAGATCTAATCTGAACCTCTCCTTCCTCTGCGCTTCTACGTTCCAGCAAACACTCCACCTTCACCTATTGGCAGATGAGGCCACCAGAAGCTGCATCACTAGTGCACTCATCCTCATACTCCTATATTCACAAGCACACAGAATCACGTCTTCTGATCACGTCTTTCTTTGCTCTGTCTTATGATTTAAATTAAATTCAAAACCAGTCAGAACAGGCAGGACACTTGGAAGGGGCCTGGTCCATCTCAGGGGCACGCATATGGCCCTATAGCACTTATTGGTCAAATTGGGGAGATTGATATATCTCCCTGAATCGGAATGTATTGGCTAGTAGCTTCAGAGTAAGCTCTTTTTCAAAGGGAGTCTACACAGCTCTCTCCCAGGCGGAAGCTCTGGAGGAAGTGATATACATGTGACTTGCTCCCAGTGTCACCATAGAGCTGCTCTAACTGGCAGCTGAGGATCACACGTAAGATAATGTGTAGAGCAGCAGGGGATAAGGCATGGTATATTGACACCCTCTGCATCTCAAATATGCTGCAATGGGGGAATTTGATTTACTATACATGGCATCTTAGGTAGGAGTGCATGGGGGCATCTTAGGTAGGACTGCATGGGGAGAGTAAAGGGTAGGGGCAGGAAATATTTATTGGTTGCTGTGGAAGGAAGAGGTTGGGAAACTGGATTTGTCAGTGTCTGACTATGTGTGTGTGTGTGTGTGTGTGTTTGACAGAGTATGTGTATCTATTGGGTGTGAGTGTGTATGTACCAATGTCTGTATGTGTTTGCTTGACAAAGTGTGCATGAGTCTCTGGCTCTGTGTCTGATAGTGTATGAGAGTGTGTTTAGCTGCGTGTACATGTCCAACTGTGTGTGAATGACATTGTGTATTTGATGTGTATTCTGAAAGAGTGTGTGTATGAGAGTTTGTGTATCTAGGTGAGGAGGCACAGACAATATTTTTTAAGGGGCCCTGACATTTCTGATGTCAGCCCTGGTAACATGACCTCTTTAGGATTACCCTCCTATCCTCTGATATTTACATTACAAATGTAAAACAGGTTCACAGCAAATACCTGTTGCTCCAAGCCATACAACTACACAATTTGTATTCACCCTGTACCTGTCCCATGTCATTGTGTTTTGGAATAATGCCACCTGTGCCACCAATCCTATTGCCAGTGTTAGGGTTTCAGTGACCCATGCCCAATTTAATAACAATTCTGATTTATTTCACATATGGTTGAGGGAGGAGCTGGTCCCAGGTCTGGTCCTGGGATTTGTTTCCCTCTTCTTGTGCACTCCCTGTACTATTTAGCTCTCCCCTTCCGCTTGTGCCATAATTCGTTTCACATGCGGGTTAAAACCCCCAGCAGTGCCTGTCCCTCGTACTAACAGGAATATGTCTTTATGTAAATAACCCATACATCGCAGGTTAGTAAATCTGCACTGCTAACACAACACTTCAAACCACCATGTGACACAACCACATTAAGTTACCCAGGTGACCAAATCTACGAGTCCCCGACACCCTCAAGGCACTCACGTGAGAGATCCGATGACTCAAGGCTTTCTGTACCACTGGACTACAACCCCCGGCATGCCTAGCGCCACGTCATGGCTCTAGCACAGTTTGGAACGCACATACAAAAAACATCTAAATCTTTATTTAAACACTGCACAATAACAGAAAACGAACAGTGAAATGTAGGGCTGGAGGGATGGTAATACTGCTACAGATGTTCAATGCGCAATCTAGTACACGGTCATTCAGAAGGGAATGGGTAGATATAAAACTACTAGTCTGCATTGCATTGTTTGTAACAAGGGAGCAGTGTTAATCACAACACCGAATTAAAGGACCACTCTAGGCACCCAGACCACTTCAGCTTAATGAAGTGGTCTGGGTGCCTGGTCCTTCTAGGGTTAACCCATTTTTTTATAAACATAGCAGTTTCAGAGAAACTGCTATGTTTATGAATGGGTTAAGCCTTCCCCCTAATCCTCTAGTGGCCGTCTCATTGACAGCCACTAGAGGCGCTTGCGTGCTTCTCACTGTGATTTTCACAGTGAGAGCACGCCAGCGTCCATAGGAAAGCATTATGAATGCTTTCCTATGTGACCGGCTGAATGCGCGCGCAGCTCTTGCCGCGCATGTGCATTCAGCCGACGGGGAGGAGAAGAGGAGGATCGGAGGAGGAGAGCTCCCCGCTCAGCGCTGGAAAAAGGTACGTTTTTACCCCTTTCCCCCTTCCAGAGCCGGGCGGGAGGGGGTCCCTGAGGGTGGGGCACCCTCAGGGCACTATAGTGCCAGGAAAATGAGTATGTTTTCCTGGCACTATAGTGGTCCTTTAAAGTTCAGAATATCTGTGGAACATGGAATTCAGGGATGTGAGCTGCAGCCTCTCATGAAACTTTGGGGGTTAAAATAGAAGTATAGGTATTGGAATGTTGGCACAGTACTTCAGGAGGCAGGCAGCAGGTGAGCATTATGGAAGACCTTTGCCATACTTTTACACGTGTCCCTATTTAATGTTCCTCTTTTCTAGGAACTCCATATTGATTGTGTGTCTGAGTGTATAACACCTCCACAGTAGAGTGTCTATTTAAACTACAATAAATGGGTTCAGAAATGTGTCTGTGTAAATAAGATACATTGTTCTTGTAAATAATCTTTTTAATTGCATACATTAAATTTTTCAGAACAGCCTCTCTTTGACCACACCCCCACTTACATCCCTAAAGTTAAAGTGTTCCACTTTGTCTATTTGAAATGTTGGGAAGTAGGCGTTTGCTAGCCCAATTTAGGTTGGTTTATGGTGCCATTTTCAATTAAAAGTTAACTTACTTTAGACGTTTTATCTCCTGCTCTGTAAATTGAATTTTAAATGGACACTATAGTCACCAAAACAACTTTAGCTTAAAGGACCACTCTAGGCACCCAGACCACTTCAGCTTAATGAAGTGGTCTGGGTGCCAGGTCCTTCTAGGGTTAACCCATTTTTTCATAATTATAGCAGTTTCAGAGAAACTGCTATAATTATGAATGGGTTAAGCCTCTATCCTCTAGTGGCTGTCTTGACAGCCACTAGGGCGCTTGCGTCTTTCTTGTGATTTAGAGAGCACAGTCGAGGAAATTGTGCTTTCTATGAATGCTTGGCTCTGCGCGTGCGGGGCCCCAAGGTATATGGAGAGAGGAGGAGGAGAGCTCTCCGCGCCAGCTGGAAAAAGGTAAGTTTTTACCCCTTTCCCCCTTCCAGAGCCGGGCGGGAGGGGGTCCCTGAGGGTGGGGGCACCCTCAGGGCACTATAGTGCCAGGAAAACGAGTATGTTTTCCTGGCACTATAGTGGTCCTTTAATGATGCAGTTTTTGTGCATAGCTCACGCCCCTGCAGTCTCACTGCTTATTTATCTGCTATTTAGGAGTTAAATCACTTTTGTTTCTGTTTATGCAGCCCTAGCCACATCTACTCTGGCTGTGACTGACAGTCTGCATGTGGGAAAAAAAGCTTTCACGAGATGTTGTTTTGTTTAGAAGTTTACATCTCCTGTTCTGTAAATTGAACTTTAATCCCACACAGGGTAGACTCCTGCAGGGCATTGAATAACATTGCAGGAGATCATAAATTCTAAATTTAACAGAATGTGCAATAAATAAAGTTAAAAACATTATATTAGTGTTTAAGAAGGCTGTGTAAGTCACACGCAGAAAGGTATGAATATGGCTGTAAAAACAAAGTGATCTAACTTCTAAATGGCACAGAATTGAGCAGTAAGACTGCAGGGGTATGATCTATAAACAAAAATGTTATGTTAGTGGGTGTAGCGTGTGTTTGCATGTGGGCTGTTAATGTGTGGGGGTGGCTTATTCTGCAGCTGTGTGTGGCTTTCAGGAACAGGTCAAGGGCAATGGCTTCTGTGGGCTGGTCTCCATTGTAATTTTTTTTTTTTTTTTTAAATCTGTCTCCACTGTAAGTTCTTTTTCACTAGCACTGGGAGGAAATTATCTATGATAAATTCCTCGAAGCCGCTCCTTGGCACAGGTAGTGATCTGAAAAAGTCCCACTAAGACCCCTGATGGCCCAGCTCCAGGGGAAATCCTAAAATATCTCCATCTGGTTTGGGCCTGACATTCTATCTATTGCCAGATGGACTGATTGCTAGTCTAAAAGACCGGTTGTAATACATTTACATAGGTCATCTCCAGTTATCTCTAAGACTATCTAAAGCCCAGAGATTAATATCAAACAGCTCTTTGTTTTACCCTTCAACAGATACATTTACTGTGAAGCTGTCAACTACATTTATATACACATACTAAATACATTTTTGCCCAAATTACAGTATTCGACATATACATATCATGGCTTCCCTGGGGGGGAAAATAAAATAAAGTCACACCCCAGCATATCATGAAACTAAAACGGTAGGGGGGTCATTGAGAGTGCTTCAGTAGCACATTGTAAGGATAGCACTAGATGGCTATATGGCTGGGCTGCCATGCATGCTGGGCTGGCTCTGCCTATCATCCGTGATAAATATAGATATTTATATGTGACTCCCTAGCTCTACCTACTTCCTTACCTCTATGAAGGTAAACCTGCCAAGTCGGGATTGAGAGGAGTGTGGCCAATGTGTTTGTGACAGCATTAGTTTCATAGACCATATGTCTGCCTGAAATGGTGGCACATATACCAGAGTGACACACAGCTCCAATGTTGAATGACATATCTGATAAATGTTTGTTGTGTTGAGCTATTTCAATTGCTCTTTTTTGATTTCTTCATTGCAAACAACCAAAAGACTGTAAATGTTGACAATAAACCTGATTTTCAATGGGGGTTGAATAACTTTGATTACAGCTGTGTATAGTGAGCTCTCCCATTGAAGATAATGGAAGTGCCAGCACTGGCTGAAAGCTTTCCAGGTTACTTTCTTTTCCATATTGCAACTGAACATCTTATTTATTTATTGTTGCAAATTTTTTCCTCTTTTAAGCACTGAAGACTGCTTGCGGCTACTCTAGTCAGCTTTGCCAAACTTGAGTTCTGATTGGCTGTTGGAATCATGTATTCAGACCCCATTTAGAATAAATACAATCACATTAAAAAGTACATGAAGATTTAAAACATGCACTACATAACTCAGCATCCCAAGCCTTCAAAGGAACTTAGTTAAAGGACCACTATAGTGCCAGGAAAACAAACTTGTTTTCCTGGCACTATAGGGTTATTAGGTCCCCCCCACCCTCAGCCACTTACCTTAATCCAGCGCCGGGATCCCTCAGCGCTGGGGAACTCTCCTATTCCTGCCAACGTCAGCGCTGAATGTGCATCTGATTTTCACAGTGAGAATCGCAGAAGCGGCCTCTAGTGGCTGTCAGTGAGACAGCGACTAGAGGCTGGATTAACCCTCAGTAAAACATAGTCGTTTCTCCGAAACTGCTATGTTAACAGCTGCAGGGTTAAAACTAGAGGGAACTGGCACCCAGGGTGATAGGAACATTAGGGCAAATGTTACTTTAACCACATACAGTGTTTTATAAATACATTATTTTTCAGTTGCAATTATCCCTTAAATTGGATTAAACAGAGATCTGGCTGAGGAGGTCAGCTTTGCAAAACTAGAGTTGCTGGTGGATTCCATTACTGGGAAATAATCAAGCACAGTACACTAAAAATAAATGAATAGCTGAATGGTAGATAATATATATTTAGTAATGTGATCATCTCCATGTTAAAAAATAATAATATCCTCACCCTATCAAAATCACTAAATTTTACATAAAATGTTTAGTTAACAAGTAGTTTAAATATGTTTAAAAATAATATATAGAATTAAATAAAATGTTTTGCATCAAGGACAGTCCTTGCTTCACAGTAAGTGATTCTGTAAGTGTAGAGGCCTTACCTCTCCTTATCAATAAATAAAGACAACATTTTGAGTTCAGTGCATTTTCTCTTTATTTTAATAAAATATACAGTGACTGACCATCAGGTGGTGACACACAGACACATCCTGTAGTAGTATGGTGAGTGCATATAAGAGAGAAACTCCTTACAACATGCATCCATTCCTATACATGCCCTCTGTGGGTCTAGTGCAAATTTCCTGAAGCTGTGTGGTTTGGAATTTGGTACTGGAGCCTGTCAGATCAAACACACTAACATGAAACGTAATACAATGTATTATATAACTCAACTGTTTCTAAAACAAATTAAATAAATGAAAGATATAAAGAGCTATATGGGCAGATACATGCTATACTGACATACTGGGAACATAATGGAATTACCCCAGAGGTCTTAATTTGAAACTTGATTACTGAGTCTCATGGACATATTCTTAAACTCTGAGTGGATTGGTAGTAATCTGGTGCCCTTGGTGCCAAGCTCATTTTGTGGGCTTCAAAACACATTTCTGACAAGTCCTGCTATCTTCCAATTTACTCAGATTAGTCTCCTGTGTGGAACACTTGGCCTGCATCCAGCTCTTTGGAGCAATGGGGGGAAGGAGAGGGGGGGGATATACATCATGATTGTCCATACATTCAAACTGAGACATGGGCATAATGCTTAAGGATTTTCGAGTACAGCCAGGGATGTTAACACTGATTTATATTCCATGTAGACGTTTGTTATTTAGATGCATGTATTTTTGTTAATACAATATGTTCTATTGTGTCTTGTCGTTATCGGTTTATTTTAAAGAATCCTTTCCCAAAGAATAGAATAAAAGTCCACATAGATTTCAACAGAAATGTATTTGTGATTTACTGCAGTTTGTCTTATATGAGAGAGGAATCATAGGAATTAAAGGTGAACTTGCATTAAATGCCCTTGGATGTGCTAGTTAACAATTTCTTTCACCAAAGTGTGTACCAGGCAATGTATTGGCCCAGGGTCGATTGAGGTTGAAATGTTGCTTGGATCACACTCCAGTGTCTTAAAATATTCATAGATAACGTTGACTGTTGTTGTGGGTCTATTACTATTTATGCTGACTTTTGGGACTTGAGGGAATCTTGAGACACCACTACCAGTGTTCACTGACGGAATGCTGACCTTTCATGTTTGCTTTATGTGACTTTTAGAAGGTAGTTAAAACGTCACAAGGAAATTTTATTAATCTAAATATAAAAAAATAGAACCTTTAAAAAAAGCACTTGTAATAGATACTTTGATATACTGGATTAAAAAGCTTATAGGTCTAGTCAATATGATAATACATTATTTTTTATTTTATGTTATTTTTTATAAAGTTGCAAATGTTCCCCTCTGAATGTCATTATTTTGCAGCAAATTCCCTGGATGTATTCCTTCTCCACCGACATTCTATCCATTGGCATTTTATGTGTGAGCAGTTCTATGGGCTTTTATGGAGTTCCTATAAACTACTGCACAGCAGGGGTTTATGAGAAAAAAGACAGAAGCAGCATGCACGTTCAACATACTGGTTGGTAGAGTTTCATTATAAAAGGATGAATGGAAATCTATGTATTTTGTTTGCAAACACCATTGTCTGTAGTGCCCTTTTATGTGACAATAGTAAAAAATAAATAAAAATCTTTACAAACAATCCTAATAATTATAATAATAATAATCATAATGAAATGTTATTATAGTAGTAAGAAATCTAATGAGAGGGATTATTTATCTGTACCAGGCTCCATTGTACTGATCCATCACACTGGCCACCCCATGCCTTGATTTAGATTTGTGCTTTGATAAAAAGACTGTAAGGTAAACATGTCACCCTTATCCTAGAGCCAATTACTAAACAATACTAACATGTGTTTCCAGGAGTAGTGAAAAATTTCATTTTTGCACAGCAGGAAGTATTAACAAAAGGTTTGACTTCTGACACAAGTTACAGTGAGCAATCAATATACACACTTTATCCTCTCCATCAAAATCAGATTAAAGTATATCTGTCATCACTAACAAAGAACCCCAAACTCTTTGAACTTCTTTCATTGTTCCATTTTAAATTATAGATAGATTTGTAACACAATCTCCTAATGAATACTAAAATTTTTGTTTAAGGCATTCCCTTACTTCGTTCTCCTTTATATTTTTAATGGTGACCTGGCATCTTCTTAGAAGTTGCTGAAGTGAACTGTTTATTTTTACAAAGAGAAACCTGATCTACGTTAAGCCTGGGCTTTCTCAAGAAATTGTCTCATTTGAAGGTCATCTACAAAGACCTTTCTTGTTTACATACAAAAGAAAAAAAATTCAGATCTTGGTTAGAATGAACATCCCAGGTCGTAGAAATAAAAAGGCTATATCATTCTTAGAATTATGTTTTTAAATGGGACAATAAAAGTCATGGTTTGATGGCTTGGGGTCCTGTAGAACATATGCAAATTAACATCCAACAAATTACACAAGGAAGACTTGACTCGGTCTAATGGAAGCATTGTGTCCTGCACCTTATCTCATATATACCATTGGCATTTGGTATGGTATGCATTGCTGTGTCCACATCAAGTAGAAGTAATTTCAACTATAAATTATGAGAACACAACTTTAAGGAGAATTTTGGCAGGTCTATGGGAACAGCATACCATGGACTTCTATGTACAGTGTACATACAGGCCCATGGTACATACACATATATACATACCTACGCAGTTTCAACCACAGTGGGCTCAATGGCACCTCTTTTATTCAGCTCCCTCCTTAAATATGCTCTCATGTTGAGGCTTCAGGCAAGAGCAGTGTTCTGTAAAAATCCCTGATTAAGAATCCTGGCTCTTGCAGAGATATATGTGCTTTGTTCTTTATTATAATAGTATAAAACTGTCCTTATAAAGGTGAGTTTATGGTGACAAGAAGGGATCAGTGCAAACAGGCAGGCAGTAAGTAGGATCCTCTGTTCCCTGGGAGAGAGATTACAACACCATCCATCATTTGTGACACCAGGAAAGCATGGTGGTGGTGATCTGAGTGTGGGGATATGCATTTGGATGGGTCCTTTCTAGTGCTGGCATGGGTGGAGTGTCTCTTTCTCTTCTAGATGACATTCTCGAACAGCTGCATTGACTTCATGATATTTTCATCCTGATTAAGGGGGGGGGGGTGGGAACAAACATTTTTTTAGCCACAACTGCTGTAAAGTAAAAACCTCCACCCCCAAACTTAATAGTAAATGTACCATTACCTTTTGACAGGTTTCCAAAAATTCATCAATGGTAACCACCCCATCATGATTCCTATCCATCTT